CCCCTTGTGGACCCAGCATGGGTATCTGTGTTCTTGTTAGACTGCTTGTTGCGTTTAGATGGAGGTGGCGGAGCAGGTCTTGATGTTTCTGTAGCTCCTTGTGGTTCATTGGTGGACTCATTCTGAGCCCCCTGCTTGTTTTTCGAAGGAGTACGTTTTGGCTTAGCTTCTTTAGGGGTTCTCTGCTGTACTTGCTGCTGAGGGGCCGTCGAGGTTGATGATTCTTGAAGAACATCCAATGGCGGGAAAGACGACAAAGGTGGAGGGTCGTCCTTAATGGGAGGGGTCAGTCGCGGACCGTGCACAAAGCTTTTTGTCTTGTTGAGCGCAGCCAAACGTACTTTGCAATTTGCATAGTCTGCTGGATGCTCTCCGCCGCAGTTAGCGCACTTCGGTGGTGTCCCGCCTACACAGTCTTTGGTAGAATGTGGTTCACTACATTTCTTGCATTTTAAGGTGTTCTTACAATATTTCGCCACATGGCCAAGGGCTTGACAATTGAAGCACCTCGGAGGAGCCTCAATGTACTCGACGACTTCGTGCCGAGTAAATCCTAGATTCACTTTCGTCGGACGCTCTGTGTTCGGACGAAACGTGAGAACGACGCGATCTGATGGACTTGCGGCGTCGCCAGGCTTCCCTCGGCGACGATAAAGGCGGCGAGCGGCGATGACACCTTCTGGTTGTAAGTAATTTCTTAATTCTGCATCCGTGTACCATGTGGGCACTGCCTTGATCAGTCCATAGTTCTGAAGATAGGCGCTGGGTATGGTTACTTGTATGGGTATGTCACCAAGACAGCAAACTTGCAAGAGCTTGTTCACTGAAGTGGCGTCCGCTACTTCCACCAAGAGACCCCCCTGGCAGTGAAGTGATGACGTATGATGGGGCCGCCTGCTGCCGTATTGACTTGGGTGCTTAATATCAGCGGATTTTGTTGCTGGAGGCGATGCGCCTTGTCTGCTGGTGTCAGTAGTACCGGGACTCCTGATGTTCTTTGTCGGCGGTGCTCCACAAGAATGAATCCTTCTAGGTCACCCTCTGTGAATCCTTGATCCATTGCGTCCTTGATGATTCTGAGATCGTATGCCATATAACAGAATCACCAACAAAAAAAGTCTATATTAGCGCCAAGGTCTTTGGAACGCCGATACAGTTCCTGCTCGACACCGGGTCATCTGTCTCAATAATGGACAAAGACACGTTCTTGCAATGGTTTGCGCGAGATGCACTCGTCATACCACCACCGGTGACGCTACTGAATTATTCGCGCCAGCCCATTAATATCCTGGGAGCCTTCAAGGGAATGGTGATATTCAAGCAGCGTCACGCGCAAGTGCTATTCTACATCGCAGACCAAGGCACATCATTGTTAGGCATGGACGCCGTTGTGGCGCTCGACATCAAAATGAGCGGAGCAATGCGGACTTGTTTTTATACTGCGACCAGTGACACCGGTGAGGCCTCTACAAGTGGGGCAGAACAACCGTCAACGTCGTCACAATCACCTACATTGACAACCAAGTCAATGGCATCAAATTGCACGACTCGTCAGTGCAGCTGCACGACTCGTCAGCTGCACTGGAGGAAGAGTCGACTGAACGGCTTCTGCCACCAGCAATGACAACAGCTCAACTCCAACAGGAAACGGCGGATGACCCCCAGCTGACTGTAGTGATGTCTTATGTCATGTCGGAATGGCCTCCATCTAGGGCGTTATCTTCCGACGAAGCCATCTTCCACGCCACTAAAGAGACACTCTCTGTGCACAACGGTCTTCTGCTGCGCGGTGAACAGTTCGTCGTTCCTACTAGTATGAGAAACGCTCTCATCGGCCGACCACACGAGGGACACCCTGGCATCGTCAGGACGCGAACTTGCCTTCGCGAACTATATTGGTGGCCCCGCATGAATGCGGAGGTGAAAATGGCAGTCCAAGCCTGCGGTGTTTGTAGCTCGGCTGACAAGAGTGCAAAGACATCGCCAACACCCTTGCAACCCGTGCCCTTGCCATAGCGACCATGGTCAAAGCTTGGCATCGACATCGTTGGCCCATTTGAAGCTTCGCCACCAGCGTATCGGTACTGCATTACGCTCGTGGATTATTTTTCAAAGTGGCCTGAAGTCCGTTTTTGCTCCAACATCACGACGAGCACGGTGACCGGCTTCCCAAGGCTCGTCTTTTCTCGGGAAGGATACCCCGACACCATTGTGTCTGACAATGGACCTCAATTTTCTTCTGCAGAATTCGAGAGCTTCCTGGCTAAGCGAGGTATTTCCCATCACCTGGTTTCTGTGTATTATCCACAGGTGAACGGGCAAGTAGAACGATTTAATCGTACCTTCAAGTCGTTCTTACAGTGTGCTGCACTGGAGAAGCGTCCAATTCACTCTGCCGTTCTGGATTACTTGTGCGTGTATCGTTGTACGCCGCACGCAACGACAGAACTGTCTCCTGCGGTTCTGCTACATGGACGCAAGCCATGCAACCGGCTTCACATCATTGGCCTTTCTCCATCGCAGTTCTTGAAGAACCCATTTGAGGAGCTGCAGCGTCTGCGGTGCCGAGTGCAGCGGGGACAAGAGCACAGCAAGTGCTACACAGACAGACGGCGAGCTGCCAAAGTTCCGACATTCGAGGTCGGCGGATGGGTGCGCGTCAGGAAGCCAGGAAAGGTAAAGAAGGGAGACCAAGCTTTTGGTCCGGCAATGAAAATTGTGGAGCGTGTCGGCCGATGGACCATCAAGCTTCACGACGGTCGCATCTGGAACGCCTCCAAGCTTACGGCGGCAACGGCTCCACCTGGCACAGATACCGTTGAGAAGTCGTCGCAAGCAACGACACAGCCTTTTGAGCACCTGCCTACACAGAGAATTCTCAAAGAGACCTCAAGAAGCCAGCGTCATCATCATGAGTGGCGGCAAAACACATTAAAGCAGGCTACTCAGTGGCAATGGCAGCAGCTAAGGCCACATACGCCTCCGCCTTTTCCACCTCCACGGGGACAAAATGAGGATGGAGACGAAGCATGCCCAGATAGTCCAACCGGTCTTTTTGAATCTCGACAGGGTGCCGTGACGGTACCACCAAGTTCACACCAAACAGTGAGATTGCCACCGGAAATTCCCGTTCCCTCAGTGAATGCTACTATTCCTCCAGTGGCAGTTTCCGTTCCCCCAGTGGAAGAGCTTCGGCGATCGACCCGAACTCGCTGACCACCTGTGCGGTTTAGAGGTGTGAGTCTATGACCCGGCGGTGACATACGTGACGGTTGTCTATATTTGTCTTGGGGGGGGGGGGGGGGGGGGGGGGAGTTTACATATTCCTTTAACGCTTACTATCAGAAGCAAAATTATTTGCTGGAATTCTGTAAATAACTTGGCGTAGTTTTGTAAATAACTTGCTGGAATTCTGTAAAAAAAACTTTCTGACAGTGTTATTTGAGACACTGTGTACAAAAGTATGAGTGTTGAGTGCGAATGCTTTAAAAATAGCCCAGGCTAAGTGTGTGATCATGAATGCTTAACTTGAATTTTTTTAAATTATGATTTCGTGCATCTTTGTTTTGTATGCATAATATCTATGACTGCCTTTGTTACGTGCATCTTGTATACCCGTCTTCTCTCCAAAAGGGGAGGGGGGAAAATGTTGTGTTCTGCTATTTCTCTTTCACTCCTTCTTCTATGTATTGTCCTACATATCTCACTTCAAGAAACCTATCTTCTTTCTTTTCTATGTCATATAAAATCAGTTCATCACGAGGCACCGGACGAGATGGTCGTTCTTTCATAGCGGTACGCTTGCTGCTGAATTCTACAGGTGGGCTTCGCCGCTTTGCACCGGTGCACTCGGAGAAGTGGCTGACGAGGAGGATTCAGCAAGCTGGGCTCAGAAGTCTGGGGTCTTATATATGTCCTTCAATTAGTTGTCAAAACATTTGAAAAAGTAGTGGGTGGGCACTCATTGTGACATGGGCACATGCTCTGTATACCACAGCTGGAGCGGGACATGCGCGCAAATAATGTGCGGGTCTTCGGGAATATGAAGTAGGTAGGTCCTGATAAGGACATTAGACAATGAAGTCAATTGCTGCCTTACCTTTGTGCCTTTCCTGTCTTTAATGCCCGACAGACTGGCACCCTTTGCCCGTTCGTGCCCCTTTATCTCCTCTCCAGGAATGGACAGCAGCACCACTATGCTGCTTGGAACGCGTCTCCGACTGGTACGTTTACTGCATCCTAAAAAGTGGTCCCTCGATTCCCGTCTGACGACGTCATTGAAGTGTTATGTCCCCGGCCGCGATCGTGGCGGCGTCACACCGCCGGTGGTGGATGTGGCAGACGCCTGTTCTGCCACAGGTCACTCTCCAGCTTGTCAGTTCATGGAAGCTTCGGCAGCCCCGAACTGGGCACCACGACAATGGCAACATTCGTGTTCTCCAAAGCTTTTATTTTATTTTATTTTTTTTCAAAACTTCTACGCCCAACTGCTGGGATTGTGACGTCCGACGGCGTGACACTCCGACTTTTGTGACGTCGTTTGTTGCCACTTCGGGACCACTTTTGATGCTTGGGCAGAATAGCACGCTAAACATGCTGGTCGGAGACACGCTCCCGGCACCAAAACATTGCACGTGGCATGACCCACGATCATCGTGCGGAGAGGCAGTCGACGCATTGTGTGCGGGGCTGCTTTTTGACACTTTGGAGAAGAGAGGGACACGATTGGGAGAGATGTGCCGATCTAACGGCGTCTAAGCTAGGCAGGTCCTCATCACTCTGTGGGTGTGCAATCTGCATAATACCTATGCCCGTCACAGGCAACTAGAGGACCGGCAAACCGGCGAGCACCACATGAAACGCAAAGACTGTGTCGTGCGTCACTTATCCGACTCTTAACTGCCTTTCCTCCTAAATGCCTGCGGGGATGGAGGTACGGGTTTCTTCCAAGCCACCGAGCCTTACTCGCTTAATCGTTTGTGCACTTTCCTTCGTTTCAGTTCACTCGGGTGCTAGCATGCTGAAAAGGGCCACGCGGGTCACCCCCACGCTTCTGAGGAATCTGCAGCCCCTGAGACACGAGCAAGTCAGGGTGAGCTCAAGCCGTACGATGTCAACCATTAAACACAGCCGTGCTGACGTCTGCTAAGGAAATGTACTCGCCAAGATTTACCCACGAAAAGCAACGACTAGGTGTACCGAAGATCCCTTAGACGGCACGCACATAGCCAGGATTTTGTTTCGGGGGGGGCCCGCCCATGACAAAATGCTGTATGAGGGGGAGGGGGGAGAGGAGGTCCCAGCAAAATGGAAGATTTTTGGGGAGGGGGCCCGGGCCCCATGGGCCTCCCTTCTGGCTACGTGCCTGTTAGACAGAAACCTTTCTACCTTGTTCACCTTCCAAAGTTCGGCAGCCCACACAAGCATCGCGAGCCTTCAGGGCTGGGGAGGTTTCACACAATTTAAAGCGTTCCGACTTTTTGGGGACGTATAGTGCCATTCAGGGCATCATTCTTAAACTTGTGACTCAGCAAATGAGAAAGAAAGAGAGTAAACATCTTGATTGATTCATTTGCATCCGCCACCTTGATTCGAGCTAGAAGGTGGAGCGGGAAAACTGATATTTTAAAGTTTTCTCACAATAGTCAGGAATGCGTAATGGGCAAAAGTTTATCTTGTAGGTGCCGTGACCCGTAAACCGATCACTAAGGGAAATTAAAAATTTCCACGACCATGGTTCGATTTTTCTAGGTGATTAGAGAATCTAGTCTCTTCATACTGGTTCAAGAATTGCACTCCCCCATACTGCTGCCACCTTCACGTGGTAATCATAAGCTGCTCTTTTCCCTCTTCCACAGACAACCGTCGTTGTTAAAAGGGTCCACACGCCACATCTGTCTAAAATATGGGCCAAGACGCCCAGAACACTTCGAAGTCGGCACTACATTTACGAATACGACGAAGTCACAGAGGTCAAGAAGAAGGAACCCCTCGACGTCATCCTCATGGACGTTGTGGAAGGTGATCTCTTTTGCTGCATCAAAACTTTGCCAGCTGTGTCGAGCTTAGCAATTGGAGCGTTAGCATCTGTGGGGTTTTGGGGTGGCTCAGCGAAATCTGCGGAGCTCTATTTTGGGGCACCCATACTCGTTTTCACCTCAAGAAAATAAGTATGTTTTACGTAGTGTTTATATGCCGCGCGAAGTAGTGAAGATTTGGTTGTCCTAGGAAGAAATGATGTTTTTGGCATTTGAAGTGTGTACTAATTGATAAGATAACATCTGTCTAATCTAAAATGGACCCACATCTGTCTTAATTCTCAACTTAAAGGGGGAAATTAGTGATGCTTTGCGAGGAGCTGGATTTCTTTTACTACGGTTCTTGAGGTGAAAACGAGTATAGTTCTAAACATTGTGTTGAATGTTGATATGTCGGTTCTCTTCAGTACCTTGGAAAAGCAGCCCTGGGTCTCTCACTTGGCGTCTTTTATATTTGCATTTGCGCAAGAGCACGTCTTTCTGGAAGTATATCATCAAGAATTAATATACAGAGGGTTTTTGTTTCAGTCAATCCAGAATTAAAGAAAAAAGGGAACTCGCATTAGGGTTTATTTTTTCCCAGGTCTCATTTGGCCGCCATGGTGGCCATCAGAAAAGTGGCAAGGGGGTTATTGAGGTAGCTAATTACCTAAAGTGCTTGAATTAACTTTTTATATGGTCATATTTTGGGAGAATGATGTATTTGGAGAATTGATGCACAACCTCAAGAATGCCTAGCAGTGTTAAGAAATTCTTATGAAAGAAATTATTAATGGGTGCTAGGGACGAGAAATTATATTGATTCTTCCGCCAGCTCTGCAAGCAAAGCTAACTGCGATAGCACCATTCTTTGCACGCTTAGTAGTTTTGTTTTGAAGTCATTTGCATGGGCGACATTTCTCATCCCGTAGCGCCCACAAAGAATTTTTTTTTATCTGGATTTCCTGGAGTGGTTAGAGTGTATTTAGGTCAAGCTTAAGTTCTCCAGATCCAGTGCACCCATAAAGATGAAAATATAAATAGCTAAATAAAGCTTTTTAGTTGAAAGTTAATTAATCCATTTCGCCTCCTTTCTAGTGGCTGCCAGGGCCACCAACTTAACCACAAACTTGACCGCCGACCTGACCTGCGAGATTTAAAAAAAGTTCCTTGTGATTATTTGCTAGCCAGCTGCGATGTTATTGCCCTTAGTCACATAGAATTTTTTAAAATCTCATGCTCTTTGAAGTTTGGAAAAATGAAACACGCGAAGGCTACCTCTTCGATAAAAATGACCCGATGGGATGTTTTGCAACACGCTCTGCAACTTTTGTATTGGAGGGTTAGTGCACAAACCCATGTTTAAAAGGTTGGCTAATTAATTTGTGTTAATTAGCCAGTTTGGCAGATCACAAAAAATGACTTGCTCAATAGAGCTGCGAGCGTTGGTTCGACATACGCAGTATATGTACCAACGTTTTTAAGTCTTGGCATCCCATATTTTGCTCTCTGCCTCTTTAACTTTCTTAAAGAGCCCCGAAAAGAAAAGTTTTTTTTAAACAGTCTGGCTGGAACGCGCGTGTCAAAAAATTAATTTGAAGGGGGAAAAAAAAATTTTAGAGCAATATTGATGGCGTGAGACGCAATTTAGTCGCTAGTCACCCCCCTCCCACTTGTTTTCTCTCGGCATTTTGGCCATGTGGAGGAGAGGTGGATCGGCTTGGCCATCACATTGAGGTGGAGAGAGTGTATGACCATCTCGTTGAGGTGGAAAGAGTGTATGACCATACAGTGACGTCATGGACTTTGGGTGCAAAATTTAAAATAATCTTGCGCCGTCAATATTACTCTAAAAAAATTTTTTTCCGCAAAACAATTAATTGTTTTACACGCATGTCCCAATTAAACTGTTAAAAAAAGATTTTTTTCTTTTTTAGGGCTTTTTAAGCTGTTAGTACCAGTATTAATAAGAGGGAGCCAGCTGTCTGTGGCACCACCTGGCAAAGGTATGCCTCTTTAAGAAGGAAAAGTGCCATTGCAGGTCTTGGTAACAAGTGGGACATCGTGTCAGTGACTCCAGTCTATGGCCTGACCCAGCTGATTGTGCCGGGCCTGGCCATCTACGCTACTCCTGACAATCTGGCACTCCGGGAGAAAATGAAGCAGGTTGGTGCCCCTGTCTAATCCCGAGCTTTGCTCAGCACTGCATGTAACCTCCATTCAGATGTAACTGTCTGTTAGTTACCTGAATGTGACCACCAGGAAGCAACTCTCACACAGCGGTTTATTTCACATGGATTTTCACGACTGTGAAGTCTACCATATTTATTCACATGCAAGTTTATTTTTTGGGGAGAAAAGGACTTAATTTCAAATTGGGGGTCAATCTAACATTGGAACCAAAGAATGTTTACCTTTAAGAGTGAGCAAGATCTCCGAGCCCATTAAGCTGGCGTAGTTACTTCCTCACATTGGCCATTGCTCTTAGCACGTCAGTGCAAAGCTTAAGGTTTGACATGTATGCGGCCTTGCCAATGGCTTCACGCGGTGCACAACTATGAACTTACTCACGATGAAATTGAACTAGTGGAACGGTGGATATCTGGCCATTGAGCCTGGCAGAAGCACATGCCAGAGAAAGAGACGGAAAGGTGAACGGGCTGTTGTAAAAGCCTCAACCCCTTCCAAGCCTAGCTATGGAGGTGTCTGACTTGGGAGGCTTTGATCATGCTCTCCTCATTGGTGAAGTTTTGTCTTTAGCTTTTTTCAGTGTACACAACCACTCTTTGAGGCATGAATATGGTGCGGATTTGGAAGTTCTCAAATAGCAGTCTATATGTTAGCCAAGATATGAATCAAATTTTATTTCAAATGTTTTTTGAAAGATTTGTAAGGAAAAGGAAGTGTTTGAATGTGTACTGCTGGCGTGGTCGCAAGGAATTAAAAGTGGTACAAATTTGTAATGCTGCCTCAGTTGTAGTAAAGAGAGAAATTAAGATGTTTACATAATTGTACTTTTAATTATTTTTAGAACCTTTTTAAGTAATTTTGTGGTGGTTTTGAAATGGCCCGAGACATTTGTTGGAAGGTGGCAATAGACACTTTTGGCAAAAGTAGCTTGTGCCGAATTTTTCTTTGTGAACAACTACATTTATGATAAGGCAATGCAAATGTGGTGTCTCTTGAGACTCGTGTGTGAGACACCAACCTGGAAAATGTTTAAATATAGGTCCCCTAAAGTCTACAGCCAGACGATGCTACTCCACTCTAAAAGAAAAAAATTATTCCACACTGCTAGATAGGCTCAGGAGCAGTGCCCATATCTGGTACATGCTTATATTTTCTTAATTCACTGGAGAAACTATGAAGTATACTCACTGTTCTTGTTCCCTTGGAGAAGCATTCTGGTTCCTGATAAATGTAGTATATATTTCTCGAACATGACCAAACGAAGGTCAGTGATTCTGTTTTCCTGCTGAAATTCTGTCATGTACTGTGTGGGCATGGCTTAGAAAACAATACGACCACCCTGAGTATTTATCGGAGTACAATTAAAACAATATGGATTGTTTTCTGAGCAGTCCTATAGATGACTAGACACTAAGAAGTTGTGCAATAAAGCATTACCGTATCACTATAATAATTTGGAACTCGTTCTTAATGAGGTACATATATAGTTATCACTGTCTCACACAGTGTTAAAGGGCAACTCCGCTCAATTCCGAAAAATTTAGGCTTCCATGTGATTCACATTCACAAAGCACTACTAAACAACTCTAAGTCTTCGGATTCGCGAAATGTGGAATATTATTTGTGTAATCCTAATTTAAACATCAGCAGATACTGAAACCGAAACTTCGGTTGCGTCAGGCAACATCGGTCTCGGGTCGTCAGAGTCATGGCCACGCCCCGTCGAACCACGTGGTCTTGTGATGTTCGGGAGAGAGCAAGAAACAGGACACGCGACGCGAGCAGTTTTTTTTTGTTTTTTTTTATTGGACGCGGGCAGGTCGCTTTGCATGGCATGGACGGTGATGGCCCTGGGGAGAGGGGGAATGGGAGAAGAGGAAAGAGAAGGGGAGCGGAGAAACAGACCGATAAGCGTGCAGGGCAGCGCAAACTAGCGCATCCGTGTTACGGTGATCACGTGGACGCCCGGTCAGCCAACACCGGGAGGAGAAACTCATGACGTCACTGTTCAATTTCGCTCTGAGAAGTAAAAACAAGCAAAACGTGAGAATGACGTACACATGCCTCTGACGTAGTGGTTCAACGTTGGCCGCTCCAACTCCGTGGCATTGACTGCGCTGATGATTGCGCCTCGCGCCGCACGCTAGATTTGGCAGATTTCGGCGACTTGGCTCGCTTGAAAGTTTGCTGGCCAGTTTTTTAAATATATAAACGGAATTAGATCGTAATATTTGACGTGGGGTTTTCCTATATGATACTGAAGAGGGCTACATAGTTTTCTAAATATCAAAAATGAAGCGGAGTTGCCCTTTAAACAAAAAGGTGTTAGCATGAGACGACAGCTTTAAAAGGTGGTTTTGCTGCAGTTGTGCCTGTGCTCCAGAAATGTTCCAAAAACCTATTGAACTGCTCTTACAGCTCTCATATTTGTCGTGCAGGGCTGAACAGGCTAGTGTCATCTGTGGCACTCTTGAGTGTTTTAGGCAATCATGGCCCTCATTGCGAATGCTCTTTCTGAGTTCCCAGCCGCAAGAACAATGGAATAGTGTACTTTCTTCAGTTGTACATTGTATCCAAGTGTATATAATTATGTCTTACTATATTTGGCAATGCATACATTGACACAGCACACCTTGCCCAAACTGAAGCATGAAACTTGCTCTCGTTTCCAGGATAAAACGGATCTGGGGCCAGTTTACAGTTCCCGCTTTGTTCCAAAGGTGAGCAACCTTGGTACCATCGAGCATGAACCTTATTAAACATTTAACAACACTTTGCTCGGCTCTGTTTTGTGTAAAGGGTCTCGAGCTTTGCTGTTATTGTTGATAGCAGCCATTTCTGAGTGCTAGCTGCAGTTTGCAAGCTCCTCAGGGTCCGCATTACGTCTCCTCGTTGCAGACTATGCGTTTGCTGAAGGCACTGGTAGTCAAGCTGCCCATGAACAAGGAGGTGGACTGGACTGTGGAGCCATGGCACCTTCGCATGGCATTGCGTCAGGCGGTGGGGCTCTTTGATCCTTCTAAAAAACGCCAACCTGTTTTTTTTTTTTTTTTTTTTTTTACAAGTTATTGTTACACTTTTTGCACTTTCGCTTGTTTCATTCTCTCCAGCATTCCTTCCCTCGTTCAACCTCTGACTGAAGAGTTTGATCTTCTCTCCAACTGGATAGCCATGTCCTTCTTTCTAGGTTCCTTCCTGGGTAACCCAACATCTCCTATGATAACAAGGCCATAGTACTGAATTTGTGACGTAGCCTAAAGAGGGTGAATGGGGGTCACGGATCGGGTGTGAGGACTGCGTCAGCGTTTTGCTGAAACCTGTCTTCACTCGGTGAGGAGACAGATCTCGGCCGAGTGCTCATGCAGTGCTAGTGTCCTATCCATGCCCCGTGTTTGTCTCTTTAGGTAAGAGAAACCCTCTGGCCTTGTTGTCTTGGAGGTAACCGCACAGTTGGGATAGAAGAAAACTCAAACGATGTTGGTGGTTGCGTAAATTCTACCGAAGCGCTTGAAAAAAAATTTTCTGCCTGACTGAAAAAAGGTTTGTTGCATCAACCTTCAAGCAAGAGTGAGAGCTTTTTGAGCAAAGTGGCTGCAGTTCATTTTGCCCCTAACACCACTGGGCAGATCTCAGATTGCCATAGGCCATGCATGCCCTGTGCCAAGTGCTCAAAATTAAAGCAGGGCGTTTTAAGATAAGATCGAACAACCATGTCCAGCAACCATTTTTAATTTTGATGAAAAAAAAAAAATATTTTGCTGGCTTCATGCCAAGAAAAACAAAACCAATCCTTTGTTTTGTAAAAAAAAAAAAAAAGATTTGTCTTTGCGAGAAAAAAAAATTATAAGCACCATTCAATCAGTTGCACATTTTGCGTATCACGCGATGTTGACATTTCGGGCGGCTTTCCCCCAAAAACTGTTCAGGCTACAGGTCTAGAAGTGTTTACGGACAAATTAGTTATAGGAAGGATTGACAAACAATATTGATCACCGAGTATTAGTGCCCTTATTTTGAGAGAACAAATATGGCACATTGCACAATAACGCCCTGGAATAAAGATGTTGTTTCTCCGTACCTATAAAAGCTAAGGTCTACAAAATGTGTAAGTGTGTTGTCCTATATTGAGCTCATCTTTGCATGAAATATTGTTGTCCTGGTTAGCGGGAGAAATTTAGAAGAATTGCTCAAACAGGCATTTGACTAAGTGTGCGTTATTTTGAAAATTATTTTTTAAAAAAAAAGTTCATCTTCAATATTCTTTGAATTCTCCAAACTTAATGTTTATATTATGTACTTACAGAATCTGCAGAAACATAGTCAAATATTTGTGTGACTTTGAAGTTATGAAACGAGAAATATGGCCAAATTGATGCTAACGCGGTTGCCATATGGGGCATGCACATACCCATTCTTGACAATTTTATTATTTTAATAAAGCATAAAAATTAGTCTTGTACAAATAGTGGATTTTGAGTTCGAAGCGAATTCAAAGCAAATAGTGGTTCTGGCCGAATATTTTCGATTAGAATATAGAGTAGTTTTTCCACGCCTTTCACTACTGTAATATAATGCTTAGTTGAAAACCCGGCTAAACTTGTGAATGTTGTTCCACTTGTTCATTTATAAGCCAAGTTTAATTTATCTATATTTGTGAACTGCGACCTCGAAAGGTCTGATGTCTTGGGATGGTAAGTAGACGACGGGTTTGACATAAAATGAATCCTATAGAAATGGCCAACTATACCCAATTGAGTGAATTTACATATCTTAAATATTCTTTCTTTAATTTCGAGTTAAAAAAAAAAAAAAAAAAGAATGCATGGTGCATGATGAAAGCAGGTTTTAAAGGAATCTCTGCCCAACTTAAACTCTTACAAAACAGTCAGTTTAATTTTGAAACTTTTACTACAATGTAGTTACCGTAAAACCTGTAATGATCGCGAGCCCTTAATTTTTGCGAATATCGTGAATTGAAAAGTTCGCAAAGTTTAAAGGCATACGAAAATTTCGGTCCTTAAGAATTTCAATGCAGGCCTCTGGAATTTGCGAAATTTAGTGGCCGCGACTTTGTCTTCTGTGACCGATTCGTGAAAAATAGGGGCCGCGAAAATTAAAGGTTTCACAGTATACACATTAACAAAGTTTCGATTTATTTTCATATACTGCCGGTACGCATACACCATTCCACTTTGAATGTATTGTTTTCTTCCAAGCACGCAATTACAATGTTAATATTTTCTAAAGTGTTTATCGCGGCGGGTTACCTTGTTGAGTGCGCTTCTTACCGAGCTACAATGTAATGCGGAGAAGCAACAACTGCAAAGATCGCTTCCGTGGGTATTGCTTATCCGCAGTGCACCGGTGCTCGGTAAGGAGCGCACTTAACGGGTAACCGTTGATTGCGGCGGTTACTCCGCCGCAATCAACCTTCGAAACACGCGAATAGTGCAGTTCTTCTCGAAGCGAATATTGAATAGTGTATTATTCGAAACTACTATTTGAATATTCGCACAACCCTAGTAAAAATGCTACGGTGTGATCAGGAAAAGACAAATTAGCAGCACAGAGGTGTACAGTGGTTCTGAAGTGAAAATTCCTAATATATTTTTGTACAATCAACCCAAAAATGTGCATGGGCCGGAGCGGTCGAGGGGCGCCATCTTGTCACACACTTCGCAGTGCCTGTTCCAACAATCAGCGTGTAGGGTTAGCGTCAATTTGGACAGATTTCTGGCTTTATAACCTCAAAGCCACACAAATATTGCACTATGGTTTTTGCAGATTCTGTTAGTACATATTATAAACATTAATTTCGGAGAGTTTGAAGAATATTGAAGATAGTCTTTTCTTTTTAATATAATTTTCAAAGTAATGCATATTTAATCCAATGCCCGTTTGTGCAATTTCTTGTAAATTTCTCCCACCAACCAGAACAACAAAATCTTATGCAAAGATGAAATAAATACAGGGAAACACTCTGGCAAATTTTGTAGACCTTAGCTTTTATAGGCGTGGAGAAAAAAATATCTTTAATCCATCTTAAATCCAGAGCATAATTGTGCAAAGTGCCGTACTTGTGATACTTTGTCTTGTTTTATCAATCCTTCCTATGCCTAATTTGACAGTAAACATTTCTAGACCCGTAGCCAGAACAGTTTTTTGGGGGAAGGCGCTCGAAATACCAACATAGCGCTATACGCAAAACGCGCACGTTTTTCACAATGACACAATTTTTTTTGCAAAACAAGGATTGATTTTATTTTTCCGGGCAAGGAGTCAGCAAAATATTATTTTTCATCAAAATTAAAAATGATTGCCGGACATGGTTGTTTTATTTTATCTGAACACAGCCAGCAGACACTTGTAGTTGTCACACAAAAACGACCCTAAATTTGTAAGCGGCTTTCGTTCATGAGGATGGCGATTTCAAACATGCATTGTTTTAGGGGTTTAGTTGTTAGGCTAAAAACTGTGAGAGCATAGCTCGAAGTAGGAATGACGATTCTGACTCTGCTATGCAACACTCGAATGTGTATTTTCAGTGCATTTTTCTTCTATTGTATATTGTAAATGAATTTGCTGAGTTTGGTTTGCAGGATTTGTGCGCATGTCTGTATCCCAAAGGGTCTTAGCCCCCTTTTAAATGCTGTTTATCCCAGTAGCACTGCCACTCCAGTCGGAAAGATAAAATAGCACTGCAATTTCCATTCATCCCAGGGAGTTGTGGTGCCCGAAGACTCCATTGAGCTCCCCAAGACCCCCATCTCCGGTCCGGATGTTGGCAAAGAGAACAAGGTGTTCGCTGCTACCATTCTGGTCAGTCAATTTCTACTGCACGATAATATACTATTCATGTTTGCATCGAGAAATCTGTGCAGACTTTGGGTAGAAAATTCCCCACATAGCTTTGCTATAGCCTTGCAGAAGGTTTGGCCTCAAATCCCCAGGAAGAAATGACGTCACTGCGCCCCTCGGTACCAATACTCCGACATCGCTGAAAGAAAGGAGCATTTGCCATCACCCTTTTGTTTAAGATTGGTGCCCACAAAATCAGTGTTTTGTCTGCTGACCTATGCACCTTTGTTCTTTGGACATGGAGGGGGGCATTGGTTCTTCTAGGCAGAAACTCTTCTGCAGTTCTTATGATGCAACAAACTTTATGAAGGAGCATTTGCTATCGCCCTTTTGTTTAAGATTGGTGCCCACAAAATCAATGTTTTGTCTGCTGACCTATGCACCTTTGTTCTTTGGGCATCAAGGGGGGCATTGGTTCTTTAAGGCAGAAACTCTTCTGCAGTTCTTATGATGCAACAAACTATAGACATGCTGAGTATTTTCTGAAGGCCTACTTCGCATATTATGTACATTGTGGTGAATGCTACAAGCTCCGATACATATTTTTGTAGCCACAGCTACGATTGCTTATGAAGTTATTGTACATTGCTGGCATATTAGCACTTCCAGTGTATTCTGGTTGGTACTAAACATACACTCAGATTTCACTTTTCTGTCTTGCTGTTGCTTGCCACCTTGACAAATGCTTTGTCTCAATGTTTTTTTTTCTCTTGCATCGGTACATTCAGAACAACATAGTGTCTGCTGCAAGTGGCATTTTGTAGGTGGATTCTTATCTGGTTAGTCTCCAATCTGATCACATTGATAGGCTCCCCATTTACACCGCAAGAAGGTGAACGCTGTTTGACACTTTGGCATTTCTTAGTGCCCGTGGTACGGGACACAAGCTGAGCGATCCTAGAGTCATTAGAAAGCTATGCTCGGAGCATTGGCACTTTTTCTCCCATTGTCCAATGCCACCAAGACGGTAATTTGTCCGTTTGCGTCACGCGACAATTGTTTGCATGGCAGCGGCTTGTGGGCGCCACCACCTTAGAGCCGCACGGTGTTAGAAGATCATCGCAATATCATTTTGCTTTGTTCTGAACTGTTTTAGCAAACAGGATGATGGAAAACGTGTTTTGCGTCTTCTCTCAGGCACGTCTGCAAAAGCTGCTGACAACTGGCGATGCATTGATTCTATGCACGAATACGTCTGGAGTGTCATTACTTTAAAGCATAGCTTATTTGGCGACCCTAAGCCAGGGGTTTCAAACCTTTTGACCTTGGGAAATGCTTATCTGCATCAAATGACACCCGAGGAACTCCTGCCGCTGTTTGCATTATTACATTTAACCAGTACAGAGGCCTAGAGACTGTTAATAATAATACACACACCTAGGGTATGCCTAGCTCATTCCTGCATCAATGCACGTCTCAGACATGCTAAAATGTTATCATGTCAGGTAGGGGTCGCTGCTTATTTTAGGTAGGGACAATAGGAAGTACGAGTTCTTGGGCAACCTTAGACTTTAGAGCAGAGATGTGCAAAGGGGGAATCGCGAGATGATGTCTGTGGGTGGTAGGTTCCTCAGAAAGCCAAGTCAATGCCAAGCACAATAAAGGGGGGGGGGGGGGGGGGGGGGGGGGTCGTCGGGTCGGGTCGGGTCGGGTCGGTCGGGGTCGGGTCGAGTCAAATTTTTTTAGAGACTGCGTGCCTAAAAGGTTTGTGCAACCCTTCCCTAAGGGCACTCTGGAAAACCCGGCTCGAGAACCCATGCATTAAGCAATCCTGGCCAGTAACCTCCAGCGCAAAACCAGTGGCTTTTTTCGTGTGCGCTGCAGATCAACAAGGCAGACCGGGTTCCTGTGCTCTTCCGCATCCAGCACGTCAGCAGGAAGCTCTCGGACGAGGTCGTGTCAGAGGTGCCCTACGACAAGCTTCCCGTCGAGGCCCTGCTTCCGGAGCAGAGGGACCTGCTCCGAGAACTCGCTCCCGACAAAGTGGTCGACACGGCAGGGTCTTGAGGGCAGATGCTCCGGGTAGTCCTTCCCATAGTTCTTATCATTAATAAAGCGGTTGGCAATATGAGGCCTGTCTACGTTGATGGAAAAGATTTCGTTGGAGGTCTGCAAAGTCCTCGTGTCAACAGTGTACAGAGTGTATATTTTTTTAGGCTTTACAGACTGGTTTCAAGAAAAACGTGAAAGCTACATTAATGCGTTCTGCGCAGGCGAGTTACGCAGCCAGGGCAACAATATACGACGCTAACTGTCACGAAAAGTATCATAATTAACTTAAATATATTCGTTAACCCTTTTACTTAGTAAAAATAAACATGATTCCAATTATAAACTTTGTGAGCATCATTGAAAGTCACTAAATCAGGAACTTTTAGGAAGCGCATGGGGAAAACGGTGGTGTGCTGAAGGGACTGCTCATGCAAGGGGCACAAGGCTGGCGGTGCAAGAACGTGAATGACTGTTTCCGCAGTGCCCGCCTTGCACCTGTTGCAAAGAAGTTCTCAATGACACTCAGTGGTTTTCAATGATGCTCACTAAGTTTTTAATTGAAACGGTTTACTTTCCCTAATTAGAAACTTAACATACAGTTAATTTTCCGACTTGTTGCAACGATTAGCCCCGTATATTATAGCTTACATGGCTTTTAAGAAAAATTTCTGAACCCTAAAAAAACTTATTCTGTTGTACTACATGCAGCAGCAGTCTGTTTGTGAAATCATTTACTGCCACCATGTAGGAACCTCGTATAGGGAAAACACATTGCAGACATCTCGGCTGTCATGAAGACATTAATAAAATGTTTGAGATCAGTATCTGTGAAGAAACACCATGCCACTTTTTTGCTCATAGCAAACTGGAATTCGTAAACAATATGGGAGTTAATCCATATTGTTTGGTTTTCATTTCAGTGGGCAAGAGTGGTAAAAGTGAAAAAGGTAATAGTGCCAATGTGCATTCGTGGACAGTGCAAGCTGAAACGACAGGGTTCACTAAAAAATACCGGTGGCAATGCCCCAACATGAGAAGTTGAACTAGCAACGGCATGCAGACAAGATTGCAGTGGCATGCTATCCAACTCGGCCTGATCATGCTTCAGAATTGCACGCCGTCGCTGCGCACGAGTTGGTTTCTACTTGTCACTTTTGCCTGTTCACACATCAAAAATATGACTTGACTTGTACAGAGACCATGCAACCAAAGCAATGACAAACATAGGTAGGCAGTAGCAGAGTCGAAGCGAGTCGGATCGAAGTGATCCTAAACACGGAAAAGGAGGAGGCCAAGTCACATACATAGCAGTGGCCATGGCACTCGCTTCCGCATGCTATTTTTCATTGCTAGTTCAACTTCTCGCATGAAGGCAGCGTCTGCTGTATGGTTTGGTCGCTGTTCGATTGGTTCAGCTTGCATTGTCCATGGTTACACGAATAGGAAAGACCAGGCAGATGAACCCTCTTAGGTGAATGTGCGACTCCGCCTAGCAGGGAGGGGAATGGTAAAACAGAACTGCGGAGAACAGAAAAAGAAATGGAAAAACGTTCAAGGCGTTCAGACGTCTGGCGTTCAATTGCACACGAACCATTTGCCTCCCTTACCTTAGTTTTTGCAAGATGTATACCGCCACCTGCTAGTAGCGTGTTCTTGAAGCGTCATTCCATTCCAGTGGAGCAGAGAGTTTCTCCAATTCAAAGACGCACTAGAGGTGTACTACTGGAACACAGGTTTTTTTTAATTAGAGCTTAGTCCACACTACTTAGTACTATCTATGGTGCTGCTTATGTATGAGGGGTGATCAACAAGTTTTGCCTCCTAGGCTGTAACTTTTTTATTCGATGATGGAATTGAAGTATGTTACATTCAAATGAAAGTTTGGAATCTCTTTCCCAGGAGCAGTGGGAGCTGCATGCTTGTCGGACCAATCACCTACCTCCCTTTCATCACAGGACTTGGTCCTGCGCATGGGTAGGGGCGGGAGCATGATCACATGGCGAAAGAGACGAAAGTCTGGTCCAATGAGCACGCAGCTTCCACCTTGTTGTTGGCCGAGGTGTGAATGGAGCATATATGTGGTCAAGCTCTTGGGCATTCCAAAGTCCGTCGAGGTTCAGAGACAGACAGAGAATGCCACAATTTGCTTTATTTTGCAATCCAATTAAAAACCCGTGCAATCCAATTAAAAACGTAACTGGTATGGTATGTGACTGGATCAGATCTCGGTATCTCCTAAATGCAAATTCATAAAAACAGTACGTACAACGAGACTTCACAGACCAAAGGAACAAATGCGCAATAAATGCCAGAAAATAAAAAGACATGCTCCACAACCAGAAGGTGATAAAAACGATACAGGTGCTTTGTGTAACACTAGATATACGAATCACTGGGCCCATATTAATGAAATGACATCCCTCCATGACGCACTAGCAATTCATCTGCAGGTCCTACTTTGCAGCCTCCTAGAAAGATTTTGTAATGCTCTTCTGTCATTGTCTGGAGTTGACGAAACTGCTGCAACTCCTCAAACAGTGGCCAAAGCATGGTGCACAGCCTCATGGCAGACAAGTCGAGACATGCAGATGCATTGGGAATAAACACTCGTACAACAAAATGTTGGTGCAGCAGAACCCCTCTATTATAAGTAAAGTCAATTCATAAAGCAAATTTTACATCAGTAATTTATGTGCCTGAGCCAGTATTAAATGCTCACCACTTTATTTTACTATGGTGATAAAAAGAACCAATACGGCAGCAAATTTGTTTTCTATTCATACCTTCGCTATTTGAGTGATCTTATTTTCTTAGAGTACCTGAAGCACCTGTACGAGTGTTACAAACTCACCAAAACCATTTCTTTTTTTTTTTACAGGAAAGCAAAGTTGTGGGAAACTTGCCACACTAATACAGGCATTTGAGGTGCAAAATGGAAAGGCCTTTATCTTAAACTGACACTACTATAGTGCACAGGCAGAAAACTACTACCATATCACAGCTGCCTTTCAAACACACGGCTCTGACGGACCACACAATCTTCAAAGCACCTGGCTGACTGAGGCACACTTCGATTTGGAGGAAATCTCAGTCCTAAAGTTTCTTCACGCCTGTTACGAGTAGCACGAACAAATGCCGACTATAGTCTACTTCATTTTACCGCGAGTGCAAACAGCAGGCAAGCTTGAAGTATGCAGCCTGCCTTTGTGGCTTTGCACATACTTGCGGTCAAACAAAGTACAGGACATTGCGACCTGACTCAGTGCGACACCAGGTGCCACTAAAACACTGTGGACGTGTCCCAGTGGAAAGCGACGGTGCAGTTTTCCTAACCAGCACAGTCTTCCTCCACAGTTTTCATACGTATGGACAGGGCAGAACTGCTACATTGAGACATATCTTAACGGCGGGCTGCTAGGAAACCTAAACTGTCCCAGTCAGCCGGGAAGGCATTTGGACCACTTCCTAAACATTGGAGGAATGCTTCCAAAGTGGTGAAGTGTGAGGGTGTGGAAAAATAACTTAAGTGACTGAATCTGCTTTGTGTAAAATTGCCTCCTCTATGCAGCCTAATGTCATACTGCACGGATTACGGCGTCAGCCTCGTCGACCGGCTTGGCGGTGAAGAAGTCGTTGGTCTTGTAGCGCAGCATCTCTTCCCTGTCAAGGTTTTGGTCTGCATCCCGGATGTCGGTTTCAATGGCGGTCACAAGTTCCTCTGTTTGCGACAAACATGCAAGAAAAAAAGAAAACAAAAAGCTTAGCATCACCAGCACAAATGGGTTCTGTCATAACCAGACCTTCTGCTAACTGCTGTCTTCTTTTTACAGCGGAGCTGTTAAGGGCTAGGTTCCTCAGGATCGTGTCCGGTATGTCGACACAAACCTACCTGGACAGCTACCGCCATCTATGACGGCGGCAAGCACACAACCAGTCTGGTTGCCACCGCCGCTCGTAGATGGCGCCAACCTTTCCAGCTATCATAGAAGAATGGATAGTTGGGCGTGTTGGTGGGAATTCATTGTAGGTAACAGCGCGAAAAACAGACGACGGCAAAGAAGAAGGACACGTAACGAGCGCAGCGCTCGTCACGAGTGTTACTCCGTCCTCGTCTGTTTTGCGCTCCGTTTCCTACGCTCTTATCAGTTTCGGTTTGGACTTAGGATGGGTCGGCCGCGCGCCCTTTCGGGGGAAGACGACTGGCTGCGGTAGAGCGGCGACGTACGCAGCAGCGCGAATGGGTTCGCAACCGCCGCAAAACCGCTGTCGCCCCGACTTCCGCTGCGTCGAGCGCTTCAGATTCCCTTGCCAAAGAAGAGCACATCGCTTGCCTGGAAAGCCTCCGCCGAGAACAGAACCAGCGATGTAAAGGGCGCTGGCGGGCCAATGCCACGGACGTTTTCATGCCACGGAGGCCAAGCGCAAGCGCGAGGCCCGGCGACGACTGCACTTTATGTTGGGTGAACAGTTCCCGGGCGCGACTGCGATCTTCCGGAGGAAGTTTGTGGATTACCCGTTTGGCGTCACGTGTGCCATGTGCGACCGACTCTGGGTCACCAGAGACATATCTACGATCGGCGGCGTGTCGGACAAGAAGAAGCGGGAAACTGGCGCGTGCGTGTTGTGGCAGTGTACCAAGTACAGCTCCGCTGGTCTTACTTCTTCACAAGAGTGCAAAAGCTGAACTTTTTTTTTTTGTTGTTTTTTGTTTATATGGTGGTGCTCACTTTTCGTGCTTCTTTTCAGACGTTGCAAGTTATATCCCAGTCTTGCCAGTTTTGATGTGAACCGGAATTGTGATGGTCTGCATTTGTGCACTCGCCACCACACGAATGCAAGCATACCAGCCCAAGTTGTCAGTAATGCAGCACTGGTCACATTATCTCTCAACAGCAAAGACAAGGAATGCCATTTCTTTGGCAGACTAACAAATCTCCGCTGTCTAGACATTCATACCAAATGTATGAATAAATAGATTTTGCCAAGAAAGTCGTAAACATGAAAAAAAAAAATTAAAAACAACCGTTTGAACCTTCATGTTGCGACGTTCACACAATGAATCTTTACTGGTGCCCTCCATTCCTTCGACCATAAAAGTAGAGTTTATTTAACTGAGAGACTGCCCAGGTGGCGGTTGTTGATTACGGGTTTTATGAAGCAAAGACTGCCCAGGTGGTAACAATGGGACTACATCTACCTGCAAAAAAGAGAGGCTTCCTTTACAACCCCCATTGATTGCAAAGCTAACAAATGGAATAGCTCCACCATTACCCATCTGTGTGGCCTTCTGGCGCAGTTTATGCGGCGGAAAGCAGACAAGTCACATATGCTTTTTGAGCTACACAAAGGTAATAACACCTGTGCCTTTTCTGTTGACAGGCCTTTTCCCAGGAAGCAAGATACGTCTGCCAGTATGGTTTGTTTCAACATGTGTTTTCCACTGGTAGTGAATCCTCCCTTTTTTTGGGAAAAACGTTAAAGCCCCCAAACACACGATTGACTAAAAGGGACATTGTGCGACGGTCGCCATAACAACTGCCACGGATGCCATGACGTGGACCTATGCTGTGCCGCCATATCGCAGCATCCACGACGGTTGCTATAGAAGCCACTGTGTACGTTTTCGTCGCTCATGTGCTTGAGGCATAACATAAAAATAGCTCGCCCAGATGACTTTTGAAAACCACTAAAAAAAGCCTGGTACTATCGGCTCAAACTTATGAATGCCACAACACTAAAAACAGTGCTGGTATTCTAACCTCAAGATATGTGCATTGCTCCTTAAAGCAACGTTTTGAGACATCATCAGCACCACTATATTAGCTCTTGCAGCATTGCAGCATAAATGTGAAACTATTTGAATACAAACTGACTTCCCAGCATATAAACATCGGCAGGACAAATTTGACCTATTTGATGTCACCTCTTCAGTTCATTTGCGGACAACACGAAGGATCTCAAATACTGAAAGACCCATTGAACTTGTGCTTTTCTCCTTGGCACACAAAACCTACAGTGAGATCAGAATAGAGAAATGTCTTGGAACAGAAGTGCATCTGTGTTTCTCTCCATTGCCCTGCTTATACCAAGTAAATTTACCTTCACTAGGCACATATGCATTTTCAGCTGGAAATCAAAGCTTTTAAACAATTATAATGGATTTTCTCATCTTTTATGTAAGAGCTAGAGTATGAGAACAAAACTGTACACCTGTATTAGTGGACATCAAACTTAGACAACCATAATACTAATTTTGACACGGTGTCAACAATTCCAAATAGAAATTACCATTTAATTTCAAAATTAGTCATAGAAGCTTGGAATCTTGCCAATTAACCTAATTTTGCCACAAACAACAGACTATTTCAAGTGGCTGGCAGCTACGCAATGCTCTTCGCAGGTTTTTTTTTTTTTATTCAAACGTCGCATTTCAAGTATCCAGAAGTAGAAAATGGAAGCGCATATTAAGGCTTATCGGCAACTGCTGTGTCTTGGGGTGTCTCCGGAAGACATCTTTACGCTTTATTCGCTTGTCAAAGCCTATAATGTTGTCGAAAAGTAGTTTTCGGAGTACACAAAGAACATTTCCTACGGGGTGGACCAGTTTTTTTCGGCGCCGAATGAGTAAGAACCAAGAGCTCACCAACAGAGTTGAAGTTCTTCTCTGGACGGAGGTAGCCTAGCACGACAATCCGCAGCATGGCCCCGTAGAAATCCTCAGGGAACCGGGCCATGATGTGTGTCTCCTGAGGAGAGGAAATGACGGTTTACTACGGCAAAGTGGTTCATTAGACCAGTTGGTTAACCCTTAATTTTGGAAAAAGCTCCAATATAAGACAGGGAAACCGAGACAAGCTACACAAGGTGCCTCGTATCACATAACTTGCCTCTGTCCCCATCTTTTTTCAGCACTCTTACAAATTTCAAGGCTGACTACAGTCTGCTTAGCTAAGCGAGAGAACACAGGAAAGCTAGAAAATAATGAAACTACTGCTTCGTTATTTGTTTTTTTAGTCTATTTCCTACGGTCGCACTATTGGCAGTTTAAATAGGCGTATATTAACTAAATGTCCGTCATTTTATTGAGGAATTGTAAATTCTAACGTTTGCCTACTTATACTGAAGGTGGTCGAATTCTGATTATATGCAACTAGAATCTTATCAGCTAAGACATTTGAGCTGATTTTCATCCATATCACCGATACTTTTGTATCAGGATGCCAGGATGCCACACAGACAGTTGGGTGGGGCAGACATACGATCAAATGACCCCATGTAAGAATGACACCTCAATCAAGAGGAGCTTGTGCATGAGACAACAGACTCTGGGCAGTCCAATTATATATGTGGTGATGAAAGCACACTGCAACGAAAATCAACACTCGTGAAACGACAAGATCCGTAGACATCTCATGAAAAGACAAGAGCACCAGTAGAGATTCAATAGTTATACGCAGCCGCCCAATTCCATTCTGGCGTGTGTGGTCGACAGTAATGGATTTCAAAGTCAAGGTCAAATTGGACATTTCAGTGATTCATACAGCGTAAGGTCCGTCTGCCAGGATGAGGCGACACTGGTTTACACTGTAGATAAGCAAATTTGGCCAGTGCAGTACGACTGCTAACCTGGGGTCTTTAACGTGCTCATGCAGTAATGATACATGACCGCACGCCGGTACGATGCTCATCCAGATCAAGACGGGCAGGGGTGGGGCTCGAACCCAGGATCCCTGGGTTCTGCAGCGCAAGCTTTTGCTCCACGCGCGTCGAGCTGGGTGTGCGCATTAGCCCACTCAGCCACCGATCCCCCCAGTAATGGATTTGCAACCAAAAGATTGTGTGAGAGGGGCATAGCCTAGCTTGATGCTCTGGCAGCAAAGCATCTTTGGAATGGGCACACCTCCCAAGATGACCCGTGCTCACCACAGACTTCTTCTCGTTCTTGTAGTAAGGGTTCCAGCCAACACTCATGACCATTTTGTTGACCGGCCCATCGTTGATGGCCGCCCAACCGTAGTACACTCCGCAGTCTAGCTCTTCGGGCAATTTGGAGACCAGGTCGTGCGAGAAGTTGGCTGCGAAGGGCACCAAATATATCGTAAAATATCTCCCTGCAGGCACACGTCAAATTCAACAACGTCAAATTCAACAACCCCGTGCGACTTCTTTTTGTTTCCAAACTTGAAAAAGTTATTCGCCGGGAAGAAATTTGAGTCGAATGAGGAGGTCATCGCCGCCACGGAAGAATACTTTGCAGACCTCGAGAAAACCATTTTTTAGATGGGTTAAAAAAGTTGGAGCATCGCTGGGTCAAGTGTATCATACTAAAAGGAGACTACATTGAAAAATAAATCGCCGCTTTTCTAAAACTTTTTGTTTTTCTTTTGTAGGCTAAGTACTTATCGGACCACCCTCGTAGACCTGCGTTTATTTGTGTATCATGCCGCTTCCTCGGTACAACTGTTTTAAAGATAGAGGTCGGCCTACAGTCAAGACCAATGACTTGTAATCGTGCTCGGCATAATTTCCAATATAGCTGAGCTAACCCAGGCGTTTCCCCATGTCATCCGCTGCTCCTAGCACTCCGGTGCAAAGCGGTGAAGCTCGACTTGCGCGTGCTGGTGCGAGGCGGTGAAGGTCGAAACGAGCGGTGAAAGTGCCACAGTGCACTGCGGATGTAGCCACGGCACATGGCAGACACTATAAACGAGAGATCTCGTCGGAAGTAAACTACCCTGGTTCAGTATTACCTCAGCAGCTGCCATCCCACTATTTTGCAAAATTTTCTCGCGACCTTTAGCTCGTGACATTGCCGATGTTGTTTAGAAATTCAGGCGATGATGGGGCCGGTGCGGTTAACGATTAATCTCTATACTTTATGTAATTTTAAGTCAAAGTGTGGCCGACGCTACGAGTCAATGGGAACAATCAAACGGCGTCAAAAGCACCATATCGTGGCATTTGTCGCCCTTCTGTGTGTGCTCCTTTGTCGACTAAAGCTAAATCGGTTAAGCGCAGCGACTGTTCCGTGGCTTGTGCTTTTACTTCGACCGTGCTCTAGCCTAAGATAAAAGAAAGTGAGAAGAGACGCTGTGAAATACAAGTTTGTACCATTTTCCTTTTCCTCTATTTAAGTCCAGATGTAGCCGATGCTAGTAGCTAATAGGACCAATCAAGCACTGTCAAAAACACCTGCCCCCTGCCCCTCCCCCTCCCTCCCTCCCCCCCCTCCCCCCTCCTCCTCCTCCTCCTCCTCCTCCTCCTCCTCCTCCTCCTCCTCCTCCTCCTCCTCCTCCTCCTCCCCCCCCCCCCCCCCCCCCACATACACGCCGCTTCGCAGCGTCCAGCCAGAGCACTGCTGTCCCCGATTGCACCGCCGGAAAGGGAGTCCCATACCATTTAAAGGGGTCATGAAACGCTTTTCCAACTTTTTCCTGTTTAGCTTTCCTCCTCAACTCATAAATCGCGCATTCCACCAAACAGTTAAAGAAGACGAAAAGGGGGAGTCCCCTCTTGCTCGCACTCTCGTTTGTGTAATCCCGGACACATCCATTCTCCCCCTAGAAGACAAAAGTTGCTTTCCCCACCCCGTTCATTCCGAAGCTGACAGTGCTGTTGAAGCTACGTGCTCATTGGGCCAGCCACACTTGCCACGTGAGCGTGGCAAATGTGGCTGCAGATAATGAAGTCAGGTGATGAAAGGGAGGCGGCTGATTGGTCCGGCAAGCGCGTAGCTTCCACCACAATGTCAGCTTAGGGGTGAAGGGAAAAAGTGAGGTCCGGTTGCGTGTGACGTCAGTTTGGACCCGATGACACGCTTTTGGGACCGCGGATGTATCACAGTGAAAAGGCAGAGAGGTTGCGAAGGGGAGGAGGTACGAAATAGTCCGCTCTGTTTTCAAATTTTTGCACTGAAAGTCAGGCTCTTGACTTTCTACCTTTTTTCTTTTGGTCCAGTGAACGATGTGCTATTAGTAAAATTCCAATCTAAAATGATTTATCCAAACCCAAAAATCGTTTCATGGGCCCTTTAAGTTCAACAAAATTTCGTCAGCAACATTTTTTTTTCCTTTTTCTTTTCAGTGCTAATTGCAAAAAGAAATGTCGTAAATATTGCCAAGTGCTCAACAAACATAAATATTCTAGAGAGGAAAAAAAAAAAAAAAAAAAAAAAAAAGGAAGCCCACATTGGGGATTGAGCCCACTGATCTCTATGTCTATTTGCTGGATCGCGTTTGACCAGCTCCTCCTATGGACCGGAATGCGGTCACTGGCGGCCATCTTTAGGTAGAGTTATATCATCTCTAGCCATCATAGTAATATGGCGGACAGCGCAATGGCGGCAGGCTGCCATAAAAATAGCCGTAGATCTAGTACACTGTACCGTGGGTGACATTTCGTGCTTGATTGAAGTTGTTCGACGAAGCAGATTCTTGAAACCCGGCGTGAACGGTAGCCTCATCTTTGAGGACCCGGGAAAAGTTCTACGAAAGCGCAGCACCGGGGAAAGCAGCGCAGCTCGCATCAAAAGCAGACTCCGTACCGTCGTCTGCTTTCGATGCTTCTTTCGATGCGACTTTCGATACGTGCTGTGCTGCTTTTCTCCCGGTGCTGCGATTTCGTGAAACTTTTACCAGGTCCTCAAAAACCGGACTACTGTTCACGCCGGGTTTCAGAAACATGTTTCGTAAAATAATTTTAATCAAGCACGCAATATCACCCACGCTATTTTGACCGCAGCCTGCCAACCCACCTGCCAAAACGCTATCTGCCATGGATGGATGATAGCGGCTGCAGCAGCTTACATTGGCTAGAGGTGATATAACTCTACCTAAAGATGGCCGCCAGTGACCGCATTCGCGGAGCGGGCAAACGCGATCCAGCAATTGTCATAGAGATCAGTGATTGAGCCCGATCAAACCAGAGACCGCTGCTTACGAAGCAGACACCTTACCACTAAGCTGCGCCACCACTTCGGTAACTCCGTAACCATTCGTTTTATACGAGTTTCGCGTAGTGCGACTTCCGGTCGAGGTGCACGACGTAGGGCCTATAGGTTTACACTTTTTAATAACGCTTGAAGTACACCTAAGCAGTTCTTACAAGTTGTGAATGCGAAAGCATGCACGCCGCTCTTCACTCCCTTCTTTCATCTGCAGCGTACGGCGCGCTGACCTTGGGCGTGATATGGTGGAGCCGCTGCCTCCCGGACGCCCCGGCCCCGCGCGATCGGGCGAGCGGTTGTTGAAACTGACGTGCAGCGGCCGATGGGAGCCTCGTCGACGCGCAGCGGCCAATGGGAGCCTCGCCGACGCGCGCCAGCCAATGGGACTGAGGCCGAAAATTCATCAGCTTTACTTCGCTCCTTTGGGATGGGGGAAACTAGGTGCCGTCTCTAGACTTTTCACGTGGTTTCATACCTGGGAGCGGGCTACACTTGGGAGAAAGGATTTAAGGTGCCGTTTTCGCGCTTCAAACTGACGATATTAGCTCGCTCCATGAGACAGTTTATGCTTTTGCATTAAAATATGCGAGACGAGACGGCGGTAAAACCATGCAAAACCGGATGGACGATTGATGCAGGGTACTTTTTGTAGGGTGGCCGCTTGTGCCATGCAACACGCGCATGCTCAATTACGGTACTCAGTTTAGTTTCGGTTTCAAAAAACGACCGAAATTGTTTTTTTTTTTTTTTTGGCGCCCGCTTGGCGCAGATTACCCATATTTTGGCAAAATGTAACAGGGTTAGACACTTCGCACCGTTTGGCGCAGCGATCACATCACTGCTTTGGGATAATTGAACTTGACTTAAATTACTTCCCGAAATCCACTTTTTTTTTTTGTCATGAATTGGGAGAACATTTCAGTCAAAACTGCTATAGTTATGTATGTTACAGCGATAGTTTCTAGATTTTCAGACATAAAAGTGACCACAATCCAACTATGAACCTTGATAACCCCACTAACCAGCCACGTAGACTGTCTCAAGCAAAACTTCAACTGCTACCAAGTTTTTCTCTCCTTTTTACCAAAAACGCCGACTGATCAAGAGAATAAAAAAAAACAAAAAAACATTAGTATTATGACAACAATATTGTGCCGTAGACACGCATCCCCAGAGGTACACAGCCCTACACTAAATGTACACTTTCTGTGCCAGCATACCCTAGTGCAAGAAAACCGACGCACCTACATTCTTGGGCAACATAAACACAAGCCGAGAAAACCTCACCCTACCCCAACCCTTTTTAGGGCCCTGTCAATGTAACCACCGACTTTTGCCACACCGAAATAAGAAATTTGTGAAGTTAAAATGGTGGCAGAGAAGAACTGTGGTCCCGTTCACACTTGCGACAGTCGCTGGAGCGACCAGCGACTATACTCCGTTTCACCTTCAGTCCGGGCGCAGCGGACGCTAGGAGTAATCCCAGCCAATCCAGCGTGGAGAGTATGTCATGTGACCTTGAGCTCCCTGTGTCCCTCTGCCCAACCGGCAGGTCACGCGATTTTCTCCCGGCGCTGGATCGGCTGGGATGGCCCGTGGCGTCCACTGCGCTCAGACTGAAGGCGGAACGGAGTATAGCGACTGGTTTTTGGTCGCGGAGCGACCAAAACAGGTCGGTAGCGACCGATTTTGGGCAGTCGCTCCCTGACCGATTTCTCAAGTCGCAAAACCGAGTCGCTGGACGGCGGAGCCAATCAGTCTCGTCGAAAGTGATGTGTGCGTTTGTTTACATTCGGCACTGCTTCCCGCGGGAAAAAGCGACGCGCGCACGGCGGCGGTCACTGGCATGGAGTTCTCTGCCGAAGCTCTTATTAATGCTGTCAAAGACTATTTGTTCCTTAACAATAAGCGGCACCCGAACCACAAGGATCGGGGCAAAAAGCTGCAGGCCTGGAACGAGATCGGCGACATTTTCGGCATGGCAGGTACGTACAGTATCACGGTCGAGGGAGCGCACATATAGCCGTTGTTTTACGTTCCGAAGCACCATTACGTTTTCTTGTTTTTTCCTGCCGGCACCTTTGATCATAAATCCTTTCAGCCGGTTCGAAAGGTGTTGATTACTATCCGTTAAGTTGGCAGCGAGCCTGGCGACTCGTCGGTCGCTCGATCAGGTGTGAACACTGGTGGTCGCCAGTCGCTTGTCGCTCCAGCGACTGTCCCAAGTCGCAAGTGTGAACCGGAGTAGAAGCTCTTTTTCCAGCATTTGCTTAGCTGAAGTGGGAAGAGGTGGGATGAGCTTCCACTTTACTCTTAACCTTTCACCAATTATAGTTAATGGACAAATAAAAAAGTATCCGATTTTGTGTTGGAAGAACCTTGGATACCCGAAGCTATTCAATGTGGGGCAATTATGAGCAAGCAGGGACACTCGCATTGCCCGTTCCTGGGGAATGCGAACTGTCAAATGGAACCCACTCTCCCAACAACTAACAGCCAACTTATTAACATTAACCACCTAAGCTCGGGTTAGGCGGATCTCGCACCATGTTGACCGGTCTGGCACATTGCAGTCCGGGCCAGCCATGACCGAGGGGCATTCACATAGTGGCCGCTCCATGTATTTGTTCAATGTTACTATTGAACTCAGTCAGGGCATTTTACGCCTACTGCTATATGAGCCCTTGGTTAAACTGACGTACCCCGGAATCTTCCGAGCAGAGATAAATAAAATAAAACAAGTCCCAAACATAACTGCGAGTTTATTAGAGAGAATTTACACATCTAAAACTTCTGCGGTCATTCTCAAGTGTTTATTGACCTGCCATATCGGTTGACCTTCGATCTGATAGTAAGTAGTCGGGAAAATTTATCCCGCCGTTTTAAAGAAACTAATGGTTTCACTCATGCCTCGTTCCTAAGACATACAAGTTCCTCGCCTTTGCTAGAAGTCAACACACAAGCTCTTTAGCCTAGCCTGTTAAGGAAGTCGAGAGGGAACCTGCACACTATGATCGGAACCACAGATTGGTGTTCAGATTCCGGCTGGTGGGTGTTTCAAGTGTCCTTTGTACGCATGGTCTTTTCCCTCGTGTGAGGAAGACAAAGGGCGCGAAAAAGTGAAAACGAAAAGAGAAGGAAGATGTTTTGCTGAAACCTGTACCGGCCGCTGTCAGTTATTGCGTCTCGATTTTGAGGTGATATGTTGAGCACAAGCAGGCTCGAAACTACGAGTACATATATCGGCCAAATTAAGAGCACATCTTTACACAATCAGCTTCGTTGATTGGCTCTCTTCATTCTTCCGTTCTCGCAAAGACGGAGACACCTTCCTTCCCGTCCCCATTCCGGCAAACCTTGAAACCAACACCTTGAGAACCGTATGCGCAGCCGCGCGGCTGTTTTTCTAAACGACCAGATCGTTGTTTTCTTCGTTTTTTGTGCCCTGTGCTCGCGTAATGCGCAACACCGGCACTACTCCATTCGATTTGAGTGTGCTAGGTTTGTCAGGTTTTATCTCGAAACGCAAGAGGTACACGACCAGTCGATTTACTGTACGCACCGTTTTGCCCCCTATCAGATGCGCTTCTCTAAAGATAAAATGGAAACGGAGCTGACTTTAGTTCATAAAGTTCAGTGTCCGGCATAACAAGGAAAAGAAATGGAACTCCCCGAACGTAACCTCCGCTGGTGTGACGCAGAAGAGCTTGCGTAATGTATGTTCGGGACGTCATATTCATCGACGCGCGTGCAATGTTCAAATAGTTTAGGCGGCCCTCACAGCGTGTCTCCAACAACAACCACCCGAAAAGGTCGTTCCGGACCGCCGTTGGCAAGGTGGCAACGGGGTGGCATTGGCGCGGCGCCCCCATTTCACATACTTCTCGGTTCACTTGGCAAGCTACTTGGCTACTGCACTAAACGCAGCGACGGGAATACAGCCTTATACTTCAGATGAAGTAAGCGAGTGAGAGTGCCACTTACCTGTGGGGATTCCTAGCTGCTTGCTCCCTCGGCCGAATCCCTTGACGACGGTCCCTCGGATGAAGAGAGGTAAGCATTTCATACACTTCGACGACAGTATGGAGGGAAATACTGGCATCACAACGCTGACGAAATGACCTCGCGCGTTTGCTATGAGTTCCGCTGTTCAGTAATTTCCGTGAACGTCGCACTTGCTCTTTGTTTACGAGCCCACCGTACCGACTGACTGACCACGGCGACGACGGCTCCAAGACCGGCTAGCGTGCGTTGCCGGCGTTGCTCCTCCTCCGCAGAGCTCCTCCGCTTGCCCTCCGTTGCAACTTGTGACTGGCCTGGTCCGGCTCTTGGCTCGTCTGCGGCTTCGCGCTTCGCCATACGCAAACTTCGCCATCGTCTCTTCTACGCGGATTGACTTGGATTGAATCAGAGCCAACCTCGATCGAAACCATTGAAACAGAAACCACAAGTATGTATGATCTCTATGGCAGTATGCTGAGCAGCATGAGCGCATCACCACAAAGATGATAAAAGTAATGTTAATAATAAATTTTATTTGACATCTTGCTTAAAAGTGCACTTTCCAGTTCGAGCTTCAGCTCCTGTTTCATCAGTTAGTTTTGCGCAGAACAAATATGGGCAGCATACGAGGCTACGCTCTCCGCACTGTAAAAAAAGATGGAGCAGTAAGTTAGTTTAATCTGTTTAATGAGAAATGCCATAAATAAGCTACTCTCAGTGTAAATATTTCGTAAAAGTTTCACCCAAGACTCACAGAGTCGCCCTCGACAGCGCATGCTTTCGAGCCAAATGGGTAGTCATAAAACGCTGGATAATCCTCCGATTTGTATTCAAAGTCGTCTTGTTTCTTTTTCTCGACAGCATCGTTGACGCAAGCCATAATTAATATCACCAAGATCAAAATGGCCAGTACTGCAAAATATGAAGAAAACGATACAGATAATAGCCTACGGATCGAATCCAATCCATTCCAAATGCTGTTTTGAACTTGCTCAACTTGCTGCAGTGGTGGCAGTGGTTGTGGGACTCACATGGTTGGACTGTTGGACGTCCTTTTTACTCTTTGTGTGTAGTCGTATACATTGTACACCTATGTTACTCTGACACTCGTACTATTTTGGTTTTAGTCCGATACAAGCACAAATGGCACTCGTAGTCAGCTCTTCGCGTCTCGCTTTTGTTACTCGTGTTTGTGGTCCGAGTGCAGTTTTTCAGCGCTTGCTGCACGCTAGGAAAGGCCAAGATCGCAAGTCGCTAAATGCCAAGGCTATTGCTCTTGGCCTGGGCAGTCTTTCCGTAGGAATAGGTGCCCATCTCTTGTGGACTCGAAAAAAGGAGCAAGCCCTTTGTGCCGAATCCACCAGCACCCTTGCGGCCCCGGTTGTCATACCACTGCCTGCACGTAGATCAGCTGATGCATCGAAACAACAACTGTTCCAAGATGCGATAACGTACTCTCGCGATCTGCTCGCGAGAAAAAAGGTATTTTGTTTTTAATTTTCTTTCAAGTTCTCCTACTCTAACTCGGTTTTGGGTCCCAGGACGAGCTCGGTGTCCCTGGTGTTGTGGTGGCCGTGAGCGTTGACGGCGAAACACTGTGGGCTGAAGGTAAGCGAAATTTTAAAGCATCGTACGTCTAAGGGAGACGAAACAATTTTAACAAACAGCTAGCGTGTAAGCGTGGCGGTAAACGCGCTGTACGATACCGCGAAAGTCGTTGAACCGGATGCATGAGGCTAGATATGTGGTGCGCCACCGCTGCAGGCAGCAGCGGGCAGCATACGCATCTGTCACGTCAGTGACATAGAGAGAAAGAGAAGGAGTTTTGAAAGGAAGAGATAGTCCTGTAGACTCACTTAGATGGGAGTCGTGCTAACTATCTTTGGGGGAGAGGGGATGGGGGTGAAAGATCAGTAGAAAGAAGTGAGATTAGATAGAGGTCTGGAAGCAGTCTCAGGGGTGTGGGTGGAAGGGGCCCGCGGAGGGCCGAAGACAGGGTTCATGGGCAGGCACGGTGACAGGGGTCCAGCGTGGGGAGCACAGCGTGCAGTTACTGTGCTTGTTCTTGGTCAGTGGTCTCCAAGGAGGATAGATGGGTAGGAGAGGGCATGACGTCAGCCGCATAGCCTCCACAAACCATGCTCCCTTGACACCTCGCCTCTTTCTCATTTTCCTCCTTACTTTCCTCACGTATCAGGCCAACGTGACCAAATCACGTGACCGTAGCTAGTCTTCGTCTAGCCTTCGATCTGATAAAACCTACCGGATGGAGCTTGCGCAAGCCTGCAAGAAATCCTTCTACAATCAACCATCCATCTCACACGTGACATGTCACGCGCACCAATTGCCAGAGAGATCTATGGCCACGTTGGCCATAACATCGTTTAAACTCTTTATGACTAGGCTTTACCAATATTGCAACGTGGGAGAGAGGGGAGGAGTTTGGAAAGGAAGAGATAGTCCTGTCCCCCTCCTAGTACCTATAACCTCCTTGGTGGTCTCCAAACATTTTGGCCAAAGTTCCGGATTGAGGACCTGTCGAAGTCTCAAGGGCCGGATAATAGATAAGACAATATTAATAAGAAAATGCTAAATAAATAAGTATTTAAATATGAAAATTAAAACTACAGGATAAATTTAAAAAAGAAGTTAGGTGAATCAATAATTTCAATATGCATACTTTGTTTCTACATGTAGTATGTCGGAATTTGAGATGTTGTTGTCCTGTCCCTTTATTTCCACTGTCTCCAGTTCTAACTATGTGCAACCTAAACCAGCTCGTCTGTCTATTAAAGGGGCCCTGCAACAACTTTTGGACTGGTTTTTAATCTGCACCGAACCTGAGTGCACTGAACCTACTAACTTAATAAAACTTTTCTTTTCTCAAATTTCGCATTATTTTAAAAGTTATAGGCAAATCAAAATTACAAAAGCAAGCAAAAAATAAACCTCCTTTATGACGTCCTTGGTTGTGGCTTGAGTGGCCGTGAACTAGAGGCGTAATGAGCCTAGCGAGCGCTCATGGCTGCTGTGTCGACGGCAGCCATGAGCGTGTTGACGGCTTGAGAGGGCGCCACTCAAGCATGTGCTGGATAGGCTGTATGAAGCGGGCGGCCAGGGCGGTTCGCCTTGCATTTGCTGCACGATTAAACACTAATTGGCCATGACACTTCATTGGCCACAAACGACAGCAAACACGGGGTAAAGATCAGTTCAGAATGGAAGCCATTTCGCACTGCCATACCGCCAAGTAGCCAGACCACAAGCCAAACCTGCTAGCCGAAGGCCTTCGGAATGCTTGGAACCGGTCGGATCCTCGAGCCTTTATATGACCGCAGCGCCGCCGCCTACATCCGGGACCTTTCTACGCTCGCCGCTCGTCGGTGCCTGATCCCGCTACCCCTTTCTAGTACGCGCCCCCTTTTCCACCGCTTGGTGGCGGGTATGTCGATGGGTTATTTCTTGTTTCTGTACTTTATGAACTGCATTTGTGTCTTTTCTAATCTAAAATACTGAACAAAAACTACTTCAATAAATATTTGAAATGGTTTGCGCCACTTATATTTTGTATTTCGACTAAAAAGAAGCTTTTAACGGCTCTGACCAGTAGTAAGGCCAGGGCCAAAGACTTCGCATAGCGCGCGCTTTCGGCACCGCGGGTCGCCCCCGTAGGTAGAGGAGGTTTCCGCATCGTCTGGTTAAAATATGATGCACTGATATTTAGTTACTTTCTCTGTGCCCGCTGGCTTGCCCGAACTCCAAGAGACGTGGAAACTGCAAAAAAGGTAGACGCTTAAATGTAATTGCAGGGCCCCTTTAAGTCTAGAATATAGTCACAGCTAGAGTACTTCCAGTTTTTGTTGACAAGGTGGGTACAAGTTTCTTCAGTTAGTTTTGAGTTCAAGAAAAGGCTTTACTGTCAGTTCCAATCTCAGAAATCCAGATATTGTTTTGAGCCTTTGTGGGGGCATTTGCAAAGCTCGCAGGCCGTCCTAAATGAACTCGTGTCTGACAACTCCTAACCTGCTCTAAAAAAAAAAATGCAGGCTTGTTTTTTTTGTTTTTAAAATTTATTTGGACAGTTTCATCTGGTATCAGTGAATGCTATCTCTCAGAACAACTCCCCATTGTGATGGACACACTTGTGGTGGCCATTGAGCACTTTCAGTGTAGAGACACTATCAAACTGAAATGGGTCGTGGAAACATCAGTTTATGTTAGGTTGCTTATTTTCAGACAAGACTCATACTCTATACTACTAGTACACTATTTTCATGCAGGGCACATTGTCCTAGAGGTTGGGTTAAACTAGATTCTTTACTGAAAATTAAGATTTTTAACTCTTCCCAGCTTCAACAAATGGCGATTAACAAATGCAATAAGGAACAAAGACAGAAACACAACAGACTTGTTGGACTCGTCAAACTTGATTTCCAGAATTTTAAATCAACACTCTCTTCTGATTTTTTGTTTGTACACACAGTGCCTTTTAAAGCAGAGGTATCTTCGGCGATGCTGATCTAATTCTGGTCCAGGCAAATCTTTTAAGCTACAAATTATTTAAAAAGTCTATGAACCCCATGTGCAGACCATCATATTAACCTCATATCATAACAATTGCTCCCATATATGCGTGAGAATTAATTTTCACACTCCTGAGTTGTCAACTAGATATGCGTAACTCTCCGACAACTAACTTATGTGCCATCTGCAAATGTTTTTCAGGACTGGGATATGCAGACATGGAAAACAGGGTCCCCTGTGGGAGGCACACCGTGATGCGCATCGGCAGCATCAGCAAGCCCATCACAATGATGGCACTGGCCAAGCTCATGGAAGAGGGGAAGGTTGATTTGGACAAACCAATTCAGGAATATGTGCCAAGCTTCCCGCAGAAGACGTACAACGGAAAGCCGGTGAGTGCTTTGCTGCAGTGACAATTCGTGGCCAAAGTCGGCTGAAGCGCGATGGACTCAGAGGCGTCGGTGTACAGGCATGCTTTTGCAAGTTGCAACCCTGCAGCACCTTTTGAACACATCAGGGTGACTTTTGTAACACACTGGCCAGATTGCCACTGTACGATGGAGAAGTGGTGAGACGAAACACTGAGGGAGATGCGCACTGCATGAATGCTCCTATAGCAACAGTGATGTGACTGCTGAACCATTTGGGCCAAAGTGCATACCCTTCTACATCTTGCTACATATCGTCAAAATGTGATAAATTTGTGCCAAAATTGTGCCGAAAAGGTAATTTCAGTTTATTAATGCAGAAAATAATATACTGAGGCCTCACCACTCGGACAGATCATTACAATAGGATTGTCCAAATTTCCGGTTCTCTAGAATATCATCTTAAATAATGCAGTTCTCGATTTGATCACTGTATAGAACACTAGCAGTGCTCAGAAGTTGCACAATATTTCTCATGTTCGTGGTCTGTACTAGTGGGTTAAGTTAGCTTTGCTGAGTGCAAAGACAAACTAAATTGGTACCCGACAATCTCAGATTGAAACATTTCTATAGCCTTTTTCACGACCAAACTATAATCCAGAAGGTGAAATACTTTATTATTCCACATTATCCAAGTCAAAATCACCCGTTCATACTCTCTCACACTGTCACTCATAATTTTTTGTTCCTACTGCAAGAGGCGAGAACCTGTTGCCATATCCTCACTATTTTCTGTATTATATTCACCATGTTAATTCTTCAACTCTTTATGTACGGCCTCTCCCTGCTATAATGCCCCAGGGGGTGCAGCAGGATCAAGTGTAAATAAATAAGTAAATAATCCATCATGGTGCCACAGGACTTCATGATGTCATGTGACATGACATAACAGTCTGTTTGATAAATTTAGTGGCAAAATATCTCCACTAAATTCCGACAAAAAGTGTTGCTCTTAAAATCAACAAGTGCTATCGCGCATTCATTGAATTTGACGAAATGTGTAACCCTGGCTATTATTTTAACTGCAGTGCGAGAGGGGGCTTTGCAGACCTTTAAAATAGCATATTAGGGCATCTGTCTGGAGTAAAATAAATGAAGTCAGACTGCTGAGGTTAGAAGATATCTGGGAATTGTGTAAGACTGTCTAACTACAATTTCCATTTAATAATAATATTAGTAGTAGTAGTAGTAGTAGTTTTTTATTTCCATCACAAATTGAGGGCGGCGATCAAGAAAAAAGATTGCATACGGAGCTTGACGTGTCCTTGACCGCCTACAGTGCACAGCGACGGGCGTAAAGCAGGAAATAAAAATATACGGAAAGGCAGTACTGTAAACAAGTCACCATAATAAGTTCAGCAGATATCAAATACAATGACAGTTACATGCAATTAATAATCAAAAGCATTCATAAAAACAATTGTCAAATTTCTTTTAGTGACATGTTCAAATCCAAATGTTTAGATTCATAAAAGTTTTGTAAATTAGGGGTATTGTAGTTTAACATTTGTGGGCAATAGTTTGTTCTTTGCGTGACCACCTCCCAACACCTGGCACCACAGGTAGGATACACATCAATATTTTTTGAGAGACGACTTAGTGTTTTAGAAGGGATGTGTTCCTAGTGATCTCTATCTTTAGGCTAGTACTAAGTCTGTAGTGATGCAAGGTGTGAACGTTGATGATGAGGAACTTTTTAAATAAGTCTGATGTATGAGACTGAAATGGAGTATTGCCTATGGCCCTTACTGCATTAAAGTCACAATTTGAGCCAGTTGTTTCATGATCATGTAAGTAAGCATCAGAAAACACGGGGACAATGAAGTAGGCAAACAGGGGCGCACTTGCAACTAACTTTTATTTGATAAACTGCTGACATATATATAGCTGTGGCAAAAAAACAATGCGGCTAATTCCGGTGTAACCCCTGTAAAAAAAAGAATACTCATTTGCCGAAAAAGACAGTGACATGTCGCTTATACACTTGTTGCCCTTTGCTTTGATTTCTAAAGCTTATGTAGCTCTCTAGAAACCTTATTTGGGTACCTAGCCAGAAACCTGCTGTCGCTAATGTTGCAGATGTGCCTGCTGTTGCAGATGTGCCATGTCATTTAGCAGCAGCAGGTTTCTTGCTAAGTACCCAGATAAAGTTTCTAGAGAGCTACATGAAGCTTTAGAAATCAAAGCAACTAGTGTATAAGTGACACGTCACTGTCTTTATAAGCAAATGGGTCTTTTTTTGTTACGGGATTACACCGGATTTAGCCGTCATTGTTCGTTTTGCCACGGCTATGTATTTGAGTAGTTTTTCAAATAAAAGTTAGTTGCGAGTTCGCCCCTGTCTATCTACTTCATCTTTACTGTGTTTTTTGGCACTTGCCTATGTGGCCCTTACTGCTTTCTTTTGCAACAGGTGTACCCTTTAAAGATTCGTTGAAGTGGTTGTGCTCCAGACTAAATTGCGATAATTTAGGTGGGAATAGAACAAGGAATTATAAACCAAGAAATTAACATTTATCGATAAAGTGTAACCATGATGGTATAACATGCCAACAACTTGTGACAACTTTTGTATAATGTAGTTAATGTGATTATCCCATGACATATCAGAAAAAGTGGCGCGTAGAATCTTCAAAGAGTTTACAATATCAGTCTTTGTTGAATTTATGCTCAGGTCTTTCGTAAGGGTGACTACTTTATTTTTGGGGTGAATTGGGGGGAGCACGGCTTTTGATTTCTCAATGTTTTATTTAGGTCCACACGCATAGCAGTTTAGGCATTGCTATATGTGTGGAGCTAACAAATATTCCTTTTTATACCAATGCTGCTGTCTGTATGTTCGGTGCTGAGCATCTGAATCGAGATTAATATTACCTCTCTGCTTTCTTTAACATGTCTTTGGGGGCCTAGAATCTCGGATGTACGGTATATACTTCCGTGCACTGGTCGGATAGATGTCCCTTGTGATGTAAGCACGTGCATTTCAAGTAGCAGAGTTGCAAAATCTTTGCAGGTTGTCCTCACCCTTCGGCACCTTGTCTCTCATCTTGGCGGGATCAGGCACTACAAGGTGGAGAAAAAAGACGAGGAAGCTGCCAAGAAAGGAGGGATCAGCGTAGGTCTCGATTTGCAAACGATGCCGTGGCAGTGATCCTGCCACAGCTCTGCTTTGTTTCATGCTCCTGCAGGATGATGCCTCCGAAGAGTTTTTTCTCAATCGCAAGTTTAAGACCATGGAAGAGGCACTGGAGCTCTTCAAGAACGACGCTTTGCTGTCTGAACCAGGTACTCCCTGTTGTGTTTACTGAACTCTCTTTTAATGCGAAAACATTAACTGTCCCATGGAGCGAGCCAACGTCATCAGCTTTGAAGCCGCGCCGAACGGCACCTAAACTCCTTTCTCCGAGTGAAGCCGAGATCTAACGGCTCCCAGCTTTGAAGCCACGTGAAAAGTCTAGCCAAACGGCACATAGTTTTCCTGCTCCAAATGGAGCGCAGCGAAGCTGAAATTTGATGGATTTCGGCTTTAGTCCCATTGGCTGGCGCGTGTCAGTTTCAAGGAACGAGGCTCCCATTGGCCGCTGCGCATTAGTTTAAGCGACCGCCACCCTATGGCACTGCGTGTCCATGCTGCCAGTGCGCCAATAACACGAAGCATCTGGCTGCCGAGTGAGGCAGCAGCTCCACGCCGAAGGTCAACGCAGCGAGAAGAGCGCGCGCTTGGTCGTTGACGCAAGTATGCCACAGACGATATAAGGGAGCAGAAAAGCGACATGCATGCTTTCGCATTCACAACTCATAAAAAGTGCTGGGTGTATCTTGAGCCTTTTTTCTCGACATCTTTACATAGGGAAAACCTAAACTGGGATGATTGCGGTTTGCACTTGTACTTGCCTGAACTATAGCCACGATTGGTGCAAATACTTTACTCGAGAGTATATCTTAAGGTACTCTATGAAAATCCCTTGGCCTAGGCTCCAAGAGCTTTTCCGGAGATGGCACGGCAGAATGTGCACAGCCTCAAGGCTTACCCCTTTGAATTGGGAGGCGTAGCTGCCGCCACCTGTCGTCGTGGAAACCCCTTGAGACAGTGGAAGCAGCTCTCTTGGCAGCAGCACTCTCCTCTGGCACGGTGCGAAAGTGAGACGGCGTGGACAGCGCAATGTGCAAGCATTAGTTTGCCCGCCACTCGGGGAAGATTTGGTGCGGTAGTTTTTGAACTATCTAACAGAAATGAGCGAGGTAGGATGTATTCTCCTAGTGAAGTATTTGATTAGTCATTTTCCCCCTTCCACTTTCATCCTTTTCAACGTTCGCTTTGCTGCGAAAGTGGAGGGAGTGAAGGGCTTTATAGGAGCAGCTTCTCCCACATTTGTCATGTTGCAAGAGGCAATAAGAAAGTGTTCATTACTGGAAATGTGCTACCTTGGTATTCGGTGACCCCGTCCTACTGCACAAGGTTATTGAAGTCTGCAGACTCTCGGAGGACTACGGGATAGATCGGAGGGGCTGTGCCGACTCAAGCGTCTCCCTTAAAAAGAATGCGTCAGGCACTGACATGAATCACAGTTGTCGAACTAAGAATTAAGGGGATACTAAAATGAAAATTGACATATTCCCCTCATGTTTAGAAATATGTTAAACGTTTTTAACAAGATCTGCCAATGACAGTTTCACATTTGTATTTGGAATGGATGGCTATATTTTTCATTCCAAACGCCGATTCCAACGAGCACTCGAAGAGCAGCCATCGGAAAGTATGGTGTGTTTTGGGAGATCTGACGCTTTCAGAGCGTTCGTGACGTCACAGTTAACTTCGCGGGCAAGGCTACGGCGAGGCTGGCATGGTTGCGAGCTTCGCTGCTGGTTGGGGTCAACGCGTTGTTACAGCCTGGCCGTTTGAGATACCCGCTCCTTGCAGGAGTTGAATAGGCTTGGGAGAGAAGGGAAATCCGGTTCAGCCAAGTTGGATAGCCTACGGAGCTTGGTGCCGTAATTCCGCGGAGCAGCGCTGCTTTTACGCAAAGTTTGACGTAACAACATTTATGAACATCCACCAGGTGCAATCTGGTAATCGGTTTATTTGTTTTAAATAATGTTTTAGTGTCTTTTTGAACTAAAACATTGGTGTCTCTGTGGTGTGGCCAGAACATGGTTGTCATTTAGACATTAAAATAGGTGCTAGAATTTTGTTGCAGTGCTTGCTTTAGGGGCGACAGTACCCAGAAAAAACAATTTCTCCAAAAAAAGTTTTTTGGAAAATGTCATATTTACATCCACCAACATCTAGAGAGTATTCCGGGAAAGTTTCATTAGTTTACACCGCATAGTTAATTTTTTATAAATTATTTTCGTCCCGCGAGTGCTAAAGAAAAGTGGAGGTTGAAACACTTTGAACACATTTTTCTCCATTCCACTTTTTGGCATAAATTTCACTTCAGGAAAACTATCGTTTTGTTATTACGTAACTTGGATTAATTTTTATGAGCTTTTCTGGGTTGAAATCTTAAGGGGAAGATAGCTATGAGCTTGCATTTTTTATTTTTGTAATTTTTTACGCTCAAGAACTATAATTTTGGACAAAGGATGGAAATCTAAAGAACAGTTGTTGTGTTTATGTAACTTTTTTTTGTCATGAAAGATGAAATAATATAGAAATATAACTCCATGGCTATCTGCTCTGAACTGTTCTAAAGCAATACTATAGCACATTAAGACCACAAATTTACAAGTAATTTCAAAACAATAGTTTTCCTATGCAGACACGCCCACCTTCATCTTTGAACATTTGCAATTTTTTTTTGTATTTCACCCAGGTTAACAAAATTTGGCAAAAATGATATCAACATCAACAGATACAAGCCCTGTAAATGTTATTTAAATCAGACAAGCGGTTAAAACATTCTCTTTTTTGGCTAGTGTCCCCCCTTAATGTCTATCCGGTCTCACGATTTGGAAATGGTTAGACTGACCCCACTGTTACTAACATGGTGCATGCTGCAACACAACCCTTCACATTAGGAATTGTCTGGGTACCAGTCTTAGATTGAACCCGCCCACTTTGCATAAATGCTGACCTCTAAAGACATAGTCCATGCAGAAAAAAACCCAAATGATAGGGCCTTTGCGTATCACGTCTTTTTGCTTTTGCGTTCCATTGAATTTATCGTCAACAATATTCATCGAGGGTCTGCAAATGATTTCTAACCGAGTCATGGGGTTTGCGGAAACAAAAAGCTTGAGAACCACTGTTTAAAATGACATACTTAGGTGTTGGATTTGGGAGTGCGTTATTGCATTAGGCTGTTGTACATTTTAATGTTAAAGTTTTCGCTAGTATGTATGGGCATACTATTTTCAAGAGAAATGTTTAGCAACCTGCATTAGGTCCTCCAGATTAGTATGACTATTTTAACATTAAATGAAATAAATTGACACCTGCACAGACTAGAAAGAGATAGTGGAGTGGTTAATAAAAAGAAATCAATAGATCAAATTGTTTTGGCAATGTAAACATTTGACGTTGGCAGTGCGAAAGGTTCATCAGCCATGCGGGAAATGTTCAGCTTAGTTCTTTAATAAGCAAACTAATTATATCGTTGCATTTTGTAACCTTGAGATAATTGGGGGCGGTAAAGTTATTGAGCAAATGTCTCTTATTATCCAAATATTTCTGAAAAATATTTGAAGTTAGTTTTGGTTATTTGTTTGTGCAGTATGTACCACACCAGGAAGGCAAACCTGTAGGGGTGCGGTAGTATGCAATAAATAACAGTAACTGCAACCTAAATATCACTGGCAATTAAAAAAAAATATGAGGCACACATTCAAAGAACAGCCAAGATAAAAACAAAGTTTGATAACTCAGTGACAACATATTCTGGTGGTCTACAGTAAAACCTCGTTATAACAAAACGGGATATAACAAACTAATGGATATAACAAAGCAATCATAATTCCCCTTGCTTGCTAATAGTGGGAAAAAATGGACATTGGCTATAACAAACTAATGGTTATAACGAAATGATTACGACCGCTCCTTCAACTTTGTTATAACGAGGTTTTACTGTATTACATTTATGAATGGGTTGAGGGAGAAATTAAAACTTCATTTGACTTGCAGGTAATTTGCCCTTGAAGACACAAGAAACTTACTGATATTTCTAGAGGCCCTATTTGATAAAGAACTCTGTATTTAGAGTGAGCTGCATGGAACACTGTGATGGGTGTGATGAAATTTGTGAAGATGTGTGACGAATTTTATTGCGCCAGGCTGGCCTCAGCTGCCCCTGGCGATAATGGGGATTATGATGGGAATGAGGCAATGGGGGGGTCCAGACCAGTTTGGGGAACGCAGTGTACTATTTCTTGTAGGAGATTGTCAAGTCATGCAGCTTGAATGAGCCAGTTCTTGTCACATTTTGTTTATGGGTTAGAGAACTTCTTATTTAGTTTTTGTTTGAAACCTTAAGTACTTTGGTACAATTGTGTTTTTAAACAAATTATGTTTTTAACATACACACATCCAATTATCTTGTGAACATTTCATTGCAATATTCTTTTTTGATTCTATCAGGATGAGATTTCAAATATTGTCAAATTCTATTCGCATTGTGTTTTAAATATTCAAAATTTGACTCTCAGCCTTAAGTTTAGAATTCATGCTGAGTCACTGACAGTATCGCTGGCATAAGTTTTTGACAGGATCAGAACAGCAGGGCATCTGTTTGTGATGCCCAGCGTGTGTGTGTTCAAGGCTCACTAGACTCCGAAGCATTATCAATGGTAGGAAACTCACACGGGAGGCAGAGCAACCGAAGCCCCTCCCTGCCATTTTCGTCTTGTCAGTGACTACAGTGTACCAAAAACCCAATGCTGTGTTTGTTCCAGGGACCAAATACTTGTACACGACATTTGGTTGGACGCTAATCAGTGCGGCCATTGAGGGTGCCAGCAAGGAGACCTTTCCCAAACACATCTTCAAGATGTTCAAGACCATTGGGATGAAGAATAGCTACCTCGATGAGAACGAACCCATCATCTACCATCGCTCGAGGTAGTACGACTTTTCCTCGTAACATTTGGTTCCTTGCATACGAGTTGCATGTTGGAGCATATATGTATCTATGCTCAATCCCAAGAATGCTCTGCATAGTGTTGCAGAAGGCGTTCCCTCGTGCAAGTGCCGATGCATTCCCTGTTATTGCTTTATGACGGAAGCCTCTACTCCCAGAAATTAGTCCGTTCGTGCATCCGAACATATCCCATGGCAGGGCATGTAACATTGTAACGTTGGGCGTCAAGTTGTGGTGTGACAGCAAGGCATGATGATGTCACATAGCTCTTTACATGCTGTGACTCTGCGACATGACATTGTGAAGTCATGCTTCCCACATGATGTTAGGCTAGGTGTTAGGATGATGTGATGTTAGGATGACACCACAACTTGGTGTCATGTGACCTGACATCATGTGACCCCGTCAAGTGACGTCGGGTCATGCGACATTGTGACATTATGTGTCATATTTAAACGGTTTCTCCTTAGGGGGAGATGCGGGTCGAAAAACTGCAATATTTTGCAAAATGTGATTTTGGGTTTTATGGTGCTTTTTTTATTTTTGAATCTATATTTAATGTAAAAAAATAATTAGTGCCGGTTATAATCACAAAATTAGTCAAATGCCCATTTGAAGACCTCCAAGCAACCCAGGACGGCATGAATTTGAGTAACTTTCCTCTGCGTGGTTTTTTAAGTTGTGACATCGCCCGTCATCACATTTATGTTGAGAAGTAGGCCTAACCGTCTTTTCTCCATTGCAGTCTCATGTAATTTCAATTTCTCGTGGAAATTTATTAACAAAATATATTCTTTTCCACACTGCGAAAGAGTATAGCTACACATCTATAGAAACATTCTAACACATTTTTTTTTAAATGTAATTTAAGGGGTATTTTCACAGTTTGTGCACAAGAAGTTTGGTTCTTAATATTGTCCTGTCACAACCATATTTGGCATACATATGCTTTAGAACGTATGGAATGCAACTTATCTAAGTTTGGTCAGAATATTTAGTTTTTTTTTTTTATGTTTATGAAAAATTCAAGAAACATTTGTTAGCCCCCTTGCAATTGCGTTTTTGTCATTTTTAATTATTTTAAAATGAAATAAGCTTAGCACACATTATTTTTGTTGTTTATTGAATTTGTTTATTTTATTAGTGCACAAGAACATGTTTATTTTTTTTGTGCATGTACATTGCATCGAGAACGTAAAAAAACAAGCTGTGTCAAATCGAACCACATAGCTATAAAGAGGAGATTAAGCATCATAAACTGCAAACATTTTGTTTCAGTATTGTAAATAATTTAAAAAAAAGAATTATCCCCTGGTGCGTGTCCCCTTAAATGCTGCATTTCACGCATTATAGTACTTTAGAGATAAAGGTGGCTGCCAATATTATTTTTCACAAATGGGTTTTGACACTGCACGCTTACTGTGCCTCATGCCTGGATATACTGTGCACCTCACCTTCTTGATGACCTTACCTGATAATGCTCAAGGGGTTGAGTGACGAGAGTGGCTGCTCACAAACCTTTCTGGTTGTGATTTCTGCCTCGTAGAGTTCTTAAATGTGTTTGATGGCTAGCTGTAGTCCATTATGCTGAGCAGGTGTCGGTAAGTGGAGGATTGCATGTACAAAGGCTCATCCCAGTGGAAGTTCTGTTATCCTGCTCTGTTCTGAAAAGGTAGGGCAGTTGTTCATGTTATTATTTTACGGATTTTTATTTAACAGTGGTTTTATGACTATTAAACATGTGGGGATGAAAACTATGAAAAGCAGCTGTTGATAGTAAAATTAGTGTGGGATCAAAGGCAGCCGCTATTTTGTAGATTGGAGCACAGAAAATAAAAGGTCGCATCAGTCACGATAAGCGACTTCACGTCTTCCTTTCATTAAAGGAAAACAAATATGTGAATGGTTTTAACTTTGTTTATTAGATTTGAAATTCACTTCTTTCTGCGAACACAAGTAACCATTTTTGAAATATATGTCAAGCTATGATTGACAATTTCTCTCGAAGTTTGGGAGGATGCGCTGTGTGACCTATTCTAGATTTAGTAATTCCGATACCTTTGCAAAGCTCAAAATGAACTCTTTATGCTGGATTTAAATTTTATTGTATTTAAGAACTAGAGAGTGCCTTATCCATATTAATAAATATACTAGATGCTGAAAATGCAGCAAGTACTCTCAAAAAACTTTTTTTGCTAATTTTTTATGTTTTGCTAAGTTTTGTTTGTATAGCCCCTAATAAAGCTCAAATCTCGTCAAGCATGTGTCTCAAAAACACACCCAACCCAAAATGAATTAAACAATCTTTTTATTTGGCACCTTTTAAATTCATTATGATATACATTCAGTATTTATATTTAGCAACCATGCCTTGGGATCTTTTTTTTTTTCACATAAAGGTCTAAAAATGTATTTGCTAAAAATGTGAGCTTATCGTGTCGTGACATGTGAAAGGATAATACATTGCTTCTTGTGTTGAAATACAGAGAAGGAGGGACAGTGTTTATTTTCAAACATTACATTTTTGCATGGTAGCTCACGAAGACAGGCATTTCTAAAAGTAGGTTTCGGGGAATGCATGATACTAGGCTCGTCTAAGAAATAATCCCTCGGTAGTACACTTACCCTGCAAGCAACAACCTTCATGGTACATGCAGTCCGCTTTGCTTCCACTGAGCACGCACTGAGAGAGAGCAGTTGCTGATTGCACACTTAACGTGCAAATGCATGCTCCGTGCTGCACGCTTAATTGAGGTTACGCCCCAGGCTCAGATGCGAAAGCGCTAAAAGCTGTTCTTATAAATGCTATGCATCTTGAGAGGAATCCTATTGTACATCTATATTTTTGTTGCGGAGAGAGCTTCTTGAAGTTGACCTGGTAAAGGCAATCAGGCCAACCCCATTAACATTACGGTAGTGGTAGTTACCACTGTTTGGGGCGATGGCACTCGCATTATATGCCAGTCAGATATAGGTCCATTTTCCAGGGCAGCTTGGGGTAGCGGCTCTCGCACTCCAGGGCAGCTTTCTTTCTGTCCACGCAAACGAGCTCCATGGACAGCGCCTTTCTTCTCCTGTTCAGCGAATGTGACAGTCCAAAACAATTCAGTCTGTGCCCATTTGCAACAATTCTCACCTGAGTGAGTGAGAGTTTGCAAACATAAATTTGCAGGAAAAGGAAAAATTTAAGCACAACAAGGCATGTAGTTGGGCTAGTTGGTGGTACATAAAGTTTGGTGGGAACAGCGCAAAAAACGTAGGACCAAGACGAAGAAACACATAGACAGGGCGCTGATTTACAACTGAAAGTTTATTGCTCTGCAAAAAGAGAAATTAACATAGGAAGGAAGAAGAGGAGAGAACAAACAAAGCAACCCGATAACATTCGACATCAGCCACGCCCACACGCTGTCACACGAACCTGCCACACTTTTTTACGAAATCTACCTCGTCCTCTGCAAGGGTAACAGGGTCTCACCCACGTGTCAGCCCCGATAGATGCCATGAACTATGCTTCGTCTATCTTCCTCGCAGTCTTGTTTTTGTGGCGAGACAAAATCGTTATATCATGAAATGACGGCGAGCAGCCACACCTATCACAATGGACTGCTAAGTTCCCTGAGGGCGAGGAACGCAAAGAAAGCGAATGCTCCCTTGCCCTTATGTTTACACACTGCCCGGTCTGACCAATATATACCCGGCCGCAGGACAGGGGGATCTGGTACACGACCCCGCTTGCACAAGCGATGTACGGGGTGCGATGTTTGACGTCACACAGAACGGAATGGCATCCCTCTCGGCTCACAGCGTCACAAAGGCGGGACAGCTTAGGTGGCGCCGAGAAGATGACAGACACCTCAAACTTACTGGCAACTTGCTTGATTCAGTGCGACAAGGCATGGATATACGGGAGTACAACGGGTCTGGTGGATGGCTTTTGTTTTTTTCTAGCACTAGTGTACCCCCTAAACATTTTCACTAGGGACTCAGCAACACCCACAACAACCACCGAAGGGAAGCCTGCAGAGGCAAGCCTTTCAACCTGAGTCACAAAACTTAACCCACACCTGTGGTGACAAAATTTGTACAAAGACGCAATAAGGCACGACCCAGCAGTGACCCTTTTTGCCAATTTTAAGTGGGTCGGGTCATAAGGAAGTAACCCTTTCTTCGATCTGGGATTATAGGACCAGCACATGTGTGACGTCCCAAGGCGGAAAGTAATGTCCAAAAATTGCAAAACCCCTTCTGTCGGGACCTCGAGCTTAAACCTTACCCCTGGGAACATTCAATAAAAATGTCTACAACCTCTTTGACCACTTAAACACAGTCGTGGTCAAGGCTGGGTCTAAGGACAATAAGGTAATCATCTACATGTCTTAGCACTTTCAAAACGCGTCCGTCCAGTCTCCCAGCAATGCCTCTATCACACTTTGGCGGATGAATATCACTAAGCACGGGCACTACGCTATACCCCATACAAATGCCACGGTTTTGCCAAAAGGTATGTTTTTACTCGCATAATCAACGCACTCCTTTGCCCAAAAAATTAACACATATATGGGAAGGGGGGTTCATTACATGGGGTAAATTTTTTGCATTTACGCACTTCGTGCAAATGCAATATTAGGTGTCAATATGGCACAGCAAGGTACTGTGGCACGTCTCCAGTGATGGAGGCGCACCCACAACTGGTCGGGGGCGCGCCACAATAACCATGCTTTATCAATTGCTAATCTTTTTAGGGCGCTTTCGGGGTGCCTTTTGCGGAAGGAAAAGCGCCCTATGAAGCTTACTCAGAAGAAAAGCAACACAACCACAACCGTTCTTAGGCGATATATACTGCTAGTATCCGGCGGGCACGCTCAGGTATAATCCGCGATTATGCGTATAAGAACTCGTACGGAGTTCAATTCCTGACCGCACGCTCAGGTATAATGCGCGAATAAGCGTATAAGAACTCGTACGAAGTCCGATTCCC